TTAAATACTACCTCCGTCTCAGAGTATTTGTCCACTTTCATTTTTACACACCATCCAATACACTTCTTTAATCCATTTTACTCTTGTAATTTGTATATATTAAAAAATTATAGAAATTATATATTAATAATCTATATGTTAAGACAAATCAAACAAGATCACACATGACTATATTTTGGCTTACACATTGAGAGAATTTGATGAGTCAAAGTGCTTAGATGAACAGTTCCAAAAGTCAAAAGTGGACGAATACTTCGGGACGGAGGGAGTATTACCCCCGTAGTCCTTTTTTTATGGGTATCTTTCCACAGATAGTCCTTTTTTGATCTTCTATCATGTTGGTGCTAATTTGAAGGCTAAAAGTTTAATTTCACAATGATAATATATATTTTTTTCATACACAAATCCAAAGGCTGTTCCGATTGCGTCGTTTGTGAATTACAGTCGCTTTCTACTACAACCATAGTCTATAAATGTGGGCCTTGTTTGGACACTAGCTGTTGGCAGTTGGCTGTTGGCTGTTTATGTTAGCTGGTTTGAATGGCTGATTGAGTTAGCTGTTTTGACCGGCTGTTTCTGTTAGCAGTTAAATTTTAAGTGTTTGGCAACTTTAGCTGTTTATACTTAGCTGTTTGTAAATAAAATTACATAAAAGGACATCCCTCCATTTATGGTATATTTTATTTTACAATTTTTTTAAATATCATATCATAAATATATTTTTTTTAAATTAAAAAAATTAAATAAAAAATTAAATAAAATTATATATATATATATATATATATATAGACACATGATATTTATTTTTCATTTTTTTACATGTAAAAATTAAATCCTTACTATATGGAGTATTAAATTTTAATTTCATTTAATTCATAATAAATTATAAATATAATTTTTTTAATGAATTATAAATATAAAAATTTTTTAATTTCATTTTATTTTTTCGTATTTAATTTTTTTAACTTTTATTTTTATTTTTCACATATATTATAAAATATCTTTCAACAAAAATGATTTTAAAAAAATTATTTTTCCTAACCGCCAAGTCCAAATGCTACTCACCTTGGCATTTCAGATTTTGGCTTTTCGGATCAAAATGCCAAGTGAAAAAGCCATTAACCAAACAATGGTTTTGGCGGTTCGCTTGGTTAAAAAAGCCAAAGTCAGTCAAAGATGCCAAAAGCTATCCCAAATGCTGTTTTCCAAACACGGTCGTGGTCTTTCGTCGGAATCTTTGCCCACAATCATAGTCATTATTTCTGTGTTATCAACTTAACCAATACCAGAACACGTCACTAGACATAATGTTAAGTTGATGTCAAATTATATTTTTAGCCTTAAAATTAACACCAACATGACAGAAGATCAAAAAAGGACCTTTTGTGGAAAGGCACTCATAAAAAAAGGGTTACGGGGGTAATATTTGATAACAGATGACTAAATATGGAAACTCACTGTTATAAAGGACCAATTATAGAATTACTCTAAAGAAAATAAGCAAAAAAAATAAAGTTTAACCATGTGAATAATGGTTGGAAAATTATTTTAGGATGGGGAAGTACTCCCTCCGTCCCATAAAAATAGGGACGGTTTGACTAAAGTGGTAAAATAAGAAGGGATAATTTTGTGTTGACTTTTCAAAAATACCCTTGATGTGATGGGTAAAAGTAGGAAGTGATGTGTAGATTATTAGAAAAAAAGGTATGATGTGATAAGTAGGATATGAAAAAGTAAGGGGTAAAAGTGGTTTTTTGATAGAAATGGAAATGACTTTAAGAGATGCAATTTTTTTGAAACGAAAATAACTTTATGAGATGGAGGGAGTATAAAAAAGAGAGGAACCATTTCCTTTATTTTTATTTTTTTGAATTCGGCCAACAACACTTTCTTACATTTTTTATTCTATTAATGCAAAATATTGGATAATAAATCTTCAAAAGAAATAAAATTGAAGTAATGAAATGTTTACGGAAAAAGGAGATGAAAAATGAACCGATATGAAACCCTAGCTTGAAGAAAAACAACATGTTTCGGATTGAGAGCTTCGGGTGCAATTCCTTTTCCTTTGGATTGAGAGCTACGCACTTGAAGGAAACGATAAGAAGGAAACGGAACTATGGAAGATTGGAAGGGCAGGAAGATTGGTTCTAATTTGCTTAGATAACCTTAGGACTTGATTGCAAAAAAGATAAATTTAATTTTACTTAAATGAGATGGCATATGTGTCCACATGTCAATTAATAATTGGGACAAGTATGGAGTGTTTTAAAACACCCACTTTAGAAAGGGCACCGAAGGAATCGCCGGATCCTACCTTATTGGCACTCCTTGCCTTGTCACGTGTGCAACGCTCACCGACTCCACTTTGGTTTTCAGTTTTGCCAGAGGGTTGCCATTATTTTACTCCATCGTACTCCCTCCGTTCCCATTTATATTGCAATTTTATTTTCTCTCTTTCTATAGCTCTTGTTTATTTGTGTACTTTCATTAATTATTTCATAAAATAAAATATTGTTGTAACATCTTGTTTTGTAGAATTTTTTATATAGTTGTTTTAAATATGTAATTTTTATATCTTAATCAATTTGAAAATAAAACGATTTCAAAAATTGTGAGATTTTAACTCGTAATTCTTATTTTGTACTCCCTCCCTCCTAAAACTTTCTTCCCAGAGCACTATTCCAACTTCACAGGAATTTATATTTATTTGTGTTTTTTCATGGCCTATATGATAAAATAAAATATTCTTGTCACCACTTGTTTTGTTGAACTTTTGCTGTAGTTTTTAAATATGTATGTTTTATTTTTTATTTCTATACCAATATTTAAATAAAATAGATTCAAAAAACTTGGGATTTTTCTTCGTTTTGTGCAACGGGAAGAAAGATATAGGACAGAGGGAGTAATTAAAATAGGAACGGATGGAGTAAAAAATTTCAAATACCACCACTTTTATTGAATTAATATAATTGCACCCCAAAAAATGCATCCCAAAATATACTCCAAAAGGTTTCTCACAATTTTTTAATCAACATAGATAATATATTGATGACTTGGTTTGACACAAAACGTCAGTGTGAAACTTTACACTCGTATTGACATTTTGTATCAATGTATTCATCAAAATGTGACTATAACTGGTTAAAGTATATTTTGGAGCACAATCATTGAGGTACACCTATCATATTTGACTTATATTTCTTTCGTCCTAAAATGATTTTCCTAGTTACTATTGAGATTGTCAAACTTTAATCACTCTTTTTTTATACATATTTTCTTAATTACTTATAAAATAATATTATAATGTCACCTCTTGATGTAGTTTTAAAAAATATACTTCGCAATTTTTATTTTTTCATTTTACACTTATAATCAAATAAATTAATTGAAAATAACTTCAGTCAAACCTCGTAAATCGAACTTGAAAGATCACTCTAGAACAGAATGAGTAGTTAACTGACAGTAAGCTCAAAGTGTCCATAAATTTTCTCGGAATGACAACGGGCCGAGTTCGGATCGGATAGTACTATACCTGAACTCGACCCGACTTTTAAACCGGAAACCGAACCTGACCCGAAACTTGACTTTTAAACCAAAACCCCGACCAAGTCCGAATACGACATTAAAACTCGAAACCCGAATCCAAAATTTAACCAATAATCAATTCGATATACCCCAATAATTTTAAAAAGAATAAATCTAATTTTTAGTCTCTTTTTTTGCGTCTCAATTTTTTATTAAGAAATTATAAACAGAATTATAAAAGGTATATACTTGATATAGTAACATCTTCTCAAAAGATTATACAGAATGCTCATTATATCCATGAATATGCTTTTAAGTTATAAAATATTTGAGTTTGGGTCGAGTTGGGTTTGGGTTCCCACACCCGTCCCAACCCGGTGTCGAGTTCGGTTAAAATTTTTTTGGTCAGGTTTAGAATATTTCTCAAATCAAATTTGGATATTTTAATGGTCGGTCGGGTCGTAAAATCAGATTCAGGTTGAATTGTCATCCCTATGTAGATCCACTAAATCAATGCCATGTGAACTTTTATTGTCACATAAGGTTAGTTAAAATTGAAAAATGATGTTTGTGTTACTCCACTTCAGTTTACTTAGGCATATAGTACCCCCCCCAAAAAAAAAAAAAAAACTTAGACAGATAGTGTAACAATTAGTGGTTATGAATTTACATTTCAATAAATTTCTTAAATGATAACTCAATAATTACGTATTTTTTCAAATCAGTTTCCAATATTAGCTAATTACTAAGATGATATTTGATAATTGAAAATAATGATCAGAAATAGAGGGAGTACTATTTACAAAGTACATTATAAGAATATTAAAAAGTTCGACTTGTGTATGAATTTAACTCTTACAAAGCACAAAATTAATATTTTAAACTAGTACTCCCTTCGTCCCTCTAAGATTTTCTCATTTTGACTTTTTGTGATTTTTATGGAGAGTTAAAAAAAGGTGAAAGTTTACCATGATACCCTTAATGAAAATGGGTGGAGTGTATTAAAGGAGGTGAGTGAGGTGTAATAAACAAAGTAAGTGAGGGTAGTTGTGGTATTTTAATTGCTAAAAAATAAAATGAGAAGATCTATTGTGGACAAAGAAAAAAGATTTTTGAGAAGATCTATAGGGGACGGAGGGAGTAATAAATTAATAAAAGAAAAGTAAAGAGAAGGTGTAACACATGGGCCATTTTACGAATTTTTTAAAATTGATGTGAAGTATATTGAAAATTTATTCTGTAACATTAGAAGTCTACGTGTGACACTGATTCAGATAAGCAGCATCCAATTCAAATTCTTTGGATTTTTAAGGCACCGGATAGAAATCCACAGATGCGATGTTGAGTAAAAAAAAAGAGGCAACAATATAATGCCTATTTCGTCAAAATTGTTCCAAAATTTTGGACTCTCATTCTCAAATGCTCTCTACTCGTAACCAAATGACCGTTCCACAGAATCCTGCTTACTACTGCGGATGCGCGTACCGTAAGATCATCGTAAACTATCATAATCATGGCGGCGAGTGATTCCATTACTCCCCGTACTATGCTCGCGCTCTCTCTCTCTTACGGTTTTTAAGCACTAGGGTTTCCGCATTGTGAGCTACGGACTGGCGGCGCGATGTCTCCTGAAGCGCCGCCGTTCTGCAAGGGAGACAAAGTCGAAGTCCTCAACCGCGAGCATTTCTCAATATGGTTCCCCGCGGCTGTGCTCCGGCCGCTTGCGAGGAGGAACGGCGGAGCCGATCAGATCTACGTCGAATTCGAGACGTTGTGTTCCGACGATGATCCCACCAGGCGGAGGAAGGAGTTCGTCTGCGCCTCCTCTGTCCGCCGCGAGAAACTTGCTGCTATTTTAAAGTTGGGGACAGCGCCGATGTTCTCTATGAACAGAGAGGGTGGAGGACTGGGACGGTGGACGAAATTCTGGAGAGCTCGATGTACGCCGTGACTCTAGGAGGCGAAAATGAGGCGGCGGAGAGCGTGGTGGCGGAGCAATGGCAATTGCGGGTCCACAGGGATTGGAATGACGGGTCTTGGGATCCACCGATTGAACATCAATCTGACCCTAACTCCCATCAGTGCCAACACTCACAGGTACTGTATATACTGCGCATTAATTAACTTCTTCCATGATGAATTGATGACAACTTTGAATGCTCTCTCCTCTACTCCCTCTTATTCATTTATAATATACAGTAACTTCGTTACAAGCAATTCAGTCATGCATGGTCTAAATGCGCCCACAAGCACGTGTGTACAGTGTTCATGTCTATGCGTCTGTATCTAGACTATGTTGTCAAATGTCAACCAAGAAGAATAGAATGAAGACCCAGAAGAAAAAAAATATACTCCACATTAGACACTTATTCGATCAATTTACAATACTGGTAGCATATAAGAAGGAATACATGGAATTTTTTGCATATGATCCAATATTCCAATTTCAATGAGATATTTTGATAGGAGTCAAGCTGTTTTCTGCCTGCAGACTACCTTTTGGAACCAACAAAGACCATATGTTGTAGTGTTGACCCAACATTCTTTTCAAAAGTGCACAATATATTTTCCTCTCATCTGGGGGGGGGGGTTGACAGTGGATTGTCACCTCCTGGGTGCTTAGGAGTTAGGAGATAATAATGACTTCGTGTCGAACGGAACACTATAGAGCTCTTAAACTTAAATAGACCATTGTCATAATATGACAATGGTTGTCATAATATGACACCGACACACCATTGTCAAAAAAACTGGATTACAATAATAATACGGAGTGATAATTAATTTTGCTATTACTATTCCGTGCAGAAGAAATCTGAGGATTCGGTAATGACAGCAAGTGGAATCAAACTCCGGATCAAGTGTAACAGAAGACCCCAAGCTAGGAAGTTCAGCAAGGAAAAGCTTGTGGAGGTTAGGCATAATGGTGAAGGTTTTGATGTATCTTGGTATGCTGCAGTTATGATGGATGTATTAAGAAGCGGGAAACTCTTGGTACAGTATCAGTCCTTAAAGACAGAAAATGGGATTGAACTTCTCACAGAAGAGGTTGATGCATCATGCGTCAGGCCATTTCCACCTGAAATTGAAAGGGTCAATCCTCTTGACCATCTTGACAAAGTTGATGCTTGGTTTGATAAAGGATGGTGGGAGGGATATGTGTGGGAGGTTTTTGAAGATATGAATTACGTGGTATGTTTAGGGTCCACAAATCAACTCTCAACATTTGCACATTCTAACTTGAGGCCTCACCAAGACTGGATCAATAACAAATGGGTTGCGGCTGCAAAGGTACAGCTATACAAATAATGATATCTTATTAGTTTTGATGATTCTTACCGGGTATTGTGTCTTATTTGTGTATTGATTATGCATCCTCTTAGTTTAATTTGCCAAGGAGCACAAATGATGTGACAGCAAAGTCAACTGCCGCAAAGTTGAAGATGAAGGGTGATGCAAAGGTGTTAGGTCCTAAGTTCAGTAAGGGAATGATGGTAGAAGCCACAAGCTTTGAAGAAGGTTACCATGGTTCTTGGTTCACTGCTCTCATTTTCGACACCAAGGAAGAGGAGAACGAGTATGTGTTGCAATATCAGACTCTGAAAACAGATGATGAATCTGAACTCCTAAAGGAAAATGCAGATGCCTTCAATATTCGCCCTTGCCCCCCCATTATCCAACGGGTTGATCGCTTCAAAATGTTTGAACAAGTTAATGCGTGGTACAATGACGGGTGGTGGGAGGGTCTCATTTCCAAAGTTCTTGAAGGCTTAAAGTATGTGGTGTATTTCTGGAACACAAATGAAGAAATAGAGTTTGAACATTATGGTATTAGGCATCATCAAGAGTGGATTGATGGAAAATGGAAAATTGCTTCCAAGGTATGTGATGACCTCATTCCCTTTCATGTACTTCAGCTTGCAATGTCATGCTTATTATTACCATTATGATGTATTACTAATTCCTTTCTTGAAGTGCAGGAGTCCTACAAACTACCTAATCCCAACCTCGGGTTAATGAAGAGATGCAGCACCATGATTGGCTCAGGAACGCGTTTTTGCAATGGAGAGAAGGTGGAGGTTATAGATGGGGACGAAAACCAGCTTGGACAAACTTGGTATTATCCGGCTTTGATTTTGAGGCCAATAGGCAATGCCAAGTACTTGGTAGAGTTCAGGACGCTAAAATATGATCATGCAACCGAACTGTTGATTCACGTAGCAGATGCTTTGTGTATAAGGCCTTCCCCTCCTCTGCTGCAAAGAACTGACCGATACAGAGCTCTTGATGACGTTGATGCTTGGTTCATTAATGGTTGGCGGGTTGGTCGAGTATGCGAAGTTCTTGAGGGTGGGCGGTACAATGTATATTTTGAGACTACAAATGAGATATTAGAATTTCGGCATAATGGATTGCGGCCTCATCAGGATTGGATAAATAGCACATGGGTGAATCCTAAACAACGGGTACGTTTTTCCCTTAAAGAAACAAGTAATTGTGAATTTGTGATGGCTCTTTATCTTCCTCTGAGTGTGAAGCACTTCCCTTGGTTGTGAGGTACTGAGGTTATACATTGTTTGATTTCTTACAGAGTCAAGGATATTGACTGTGAATGTGTGAGATTGTATATACATTCTTGATGTAGGTGCATTAGGGACAAGACCTCCGATTGGATTCATTCAATTGATCGAATACCCTTAGGCCTTAGTAGTTGATGTTTATCTTGCTACGAAAGTAATGCTGTATGCGTTAATACTGCTTCTTGAAGCTTTTCCGGATGTTGTTTTGCAGGAGTAGCAAGGCACCACCAACATCACCCAAAGTTCATTACAGGCGCGAGTATTAGGTAAACGCGGCGGTTCGTGTCCATTCCCACTATGCACAGCTCTGACTCTGAAAATAGGATTAGATGAAAGAGGATTGGAGACGCGATCACTTGTCTTCTTTCACACTATGGATATATTATTAGTTTATTAATCAACGTAAATTGGGAGAGGTTAAGAAGAACTCTAACTCTGATCTTTCATTAGTGTTTTGATGATTCAGTGTCAAAAATACTCCCTTACCGGGAAAGGTTTGATATGACATATGATCCATAAAATGTTACTCCGTATTAACTTATGATGATGGTATAGTATTAAGGCTCAAATTTGATACTTAGTACATATAATGCTGTTACGCCAACTTGTTGGGACTTGGGAGTGTTAATGAAGGGTTTCTCTCTCTTTCTCTCTATTTAGTTGAATCAAATTGAAAGCCTTGTTTGAGGTTGAGCTAAGACTCTTTCTTTTAAAGACTAGTAATTCCTATTGGACTTTCTTCAGAATTGGAGTGCTGGCCTTTAAATTGTATGGAACATTTTTTTTATATCTCAACATCAATTTGCAAATTTAATAAATTTTAAATTATTCAAGATTTTATATGTGTGGTGTGAAGCGTGTAATCAAATATGAGGCAAATGAAATATCTCCTCCATCCCAAAATATTTACCACATTATGCAAAATAAATGAAAGTTTAAGTTTGTTTAATTCATTTTATTTTTTAATGTGATAATTAGATTGAATATTTTTTTTATCTCTAAATCAATTTGCAAATTAAGTAATTATTAAATAATTCAATATTTCATGTGGTTCGAAGCTCGTAATCAAATACGGAGTAGGAGACAGAAAGAAATAATTTTATGTTCATTGACAATGGTGTCCGGAAAGCCGATTTTGTGTTCTTGGGAGGAATTAGGAAGGAGAGTTGCTCGAATGGCAGAGTGATTGGCGTGGGTGGGATGGTGTTGATGTCTTCCAACCTCCTCCCCCACCCACATCTTCCATTCAAAAGAAAACCTCCCCCTGATTGCTGGCTGATTCCTCTTCTCGTTCAATCCTCCCTAGTTGATTATTTCCTCTTCTTGGAAGAAATATGAATGAAGATGTTGTGCTTGTGGGGGGGAGGCCACCCTTGTTGCCTTGGCTTGTGACATGCCGACCCTCCACTTTCGTGTAGTTTTGGCCGGGAACCACCGGTCGTTCGGGCACAGGCCCCGGAGGGACTTTGTGTGTTGGGTTTACGATTCCCGGTCCGACAGGTGGACGAAATCCGTGTTGTTTCAGGACCACCAGTTCACCCACATGAACAAGAAGAACCAGCCCGTTTTCGTCAATGGGGCATTGCACTGGCTAACGGACGCCGGTTCCTGCGTGTTGGGGAGTGGAGGCAGATCCATCTCCCCCCTGACGTGGGCTGCAGGGCTGGGACCCGGGGTTATTTGCTGGAGTTGGAGGGGCGTTTGTCTGTGGTGCGGATATCAGAGGCTTGGATGGTGGTTTGGGCCATGAGGAGCTGCGGCGGAGGAGGAGAAGAATGGGAGTTGGTGGATAGGGTGAGTGTGAGGTGCATAAAAGGGGATGGTGCCGGGGGTGTTCCCGATAAGCCAGTCGGGGGAATGGGTGCTGCTTGCGACACACAATCAGGTTCTGGCATACCACAGGAAGAGCAGGGTGTGGAAGGAGGTGTATGCTGTGAGGAACACCCTTCCCTTGTGGTTCTCTGCATTTTCATTTCGGACCACCATTTTCCCATGCCATAATTGATGAGGACGGCGATGATGACGATCTTTTGTCCCCCCTCCCTGGGTCGCCGTCCATGCATTGTTAAAAGGAAGGTGTATTTGGTTTTTGGAGTGAATGGAATTGGTAGTAGTGTTGTTTAATTTCCTTGTTTGTAGTGTGTGCAGTGGTAGATCCTATGCTTTATTCTCCAAACGGAGTGGTGGCTGGCCTTTTGGCTTTTAGTATATTTGTTGCCAAAACAATCTCGAGTTTACTCTTACTCTTCTTAAGAAGAGTATCAAGAGATCAGATGAAGTACATACTTGGCATAAGTGAATGTAAAAAAGAAGAAGAAGAAGAAGAAGAAGAAGATAATTGGTGTGTCGTCTTTAATGTCACCATTTGGGATGTTCTTGTGCCTATCAGGGGTTACCTTTTACATAGATCTTAAGAGTGTAGTTCAGATTTTGAAAGTGTGTATGAGTAATTTACTTAAATAAGACTAAAACATAATGACTTTCCCAATATAGGAGCATATGTTTTTATTTCCCAATGTAGGACTTTTGGTCATTATGAATTAGTCATTATTCAAGTAAATGTCCATCATTATTGGACATTATTCCTTCCACGAAGACATTAATAAGTCCTATTTAGGGAATAAAAAAGTTTAAGTCCTAGATAAGAAAAGACATTATGTTTTAATCCTATTTAGTGCAAATTTCACTTTGTGTATCTCTCATAAGGACGTAGACTTGTGTGAATTGAAGGGATATTATTGGAAGCAAATATTTCATTTGTTTGGTGGCAGTCAAGGAGAAACTATGGCCTAGTTTGAATGGTTCTTTTTATGGTTTTGGCTAAACTTATGTGTTATTACGTACATGTTTAATTAGTATTTCTGGTATGAGCTAATAAACTTTTTTTGCTAGGTTTTCCATGCCATTAATGATGGATGCTTTTGAAGTTGGCATTTGATCATTGGATTGAATCAAATTGCTTGCTTGTAGTGTTGGTTTATTTGCTTGTATATACTTACTTTATACTGCGGTGTTCCATCTTATGCTTCATTCACAAATGGATCCAAGTGGTTTTCTGGCTGTTTCTTTTTTTTTTTTCCTTTCATTTGTTGCTACTTATCTCAAGTTAGCTTGAACGGATTTTCAACAATAATCCCAAATTTTGATGTTTCCAAAAAAAAAAATGATGCCAAGTTTATTTTGGTCTTCCACGAACGATTCGCAGTCTAACGCCACCAATGTTCCGCCACTTCCTTTTTTTTATAATTACAATCTAATCTTTTTTGTATGGTCTATTTTTTTTCATTTTTAAATCAAGTGTGATAACACAATTTCACATTTTTTAATGATAATGTCAAGTAACTTTAAAATTTTCATTTTAGAATAGAGTTTAAGACAAGTACTTGAAGAATAAAAGAGTATCGGAGTACTTGATAAACTCCCCAAGTACTTTGTAATTCATCCTCCTTGTATTAGAGGGGAAGGAGCACTCATGAGTACTATACTACTATCAATGCACCAATCAGTCCTGCAGTCCTGCATTGTCATCTCATCTCTACCTTCAAGTACTAATAAACTACATAATCACTGACAGTAATTAGTAACAAGTATCATAGAATTTTTTTTAATTTAAAATGAATTGAATAATTAAATGTAATTAAAATTAGTATTCCACTAAAATTAAAACTATTATTCCGTACATAGTGTAAAACCAGAAAAATTAAATACGCCAATTCAAATTAAACCAAAAAATAAAATACAAAAAAAAAACATAATGTGAATGTTTGAATGAATAAAAATGATGGAAGGTTGGGTGAATACAATTATACAAATGGCGAAGGGAAGAGTTTGTGGATTTATGCATGATAAATGACGTGTAATAAATTCATTATCACTCCTAAATTGATATTTTAACGGTCATATACTTATGGTAAAGTTCTGCCATGATTTATAATTTGGCATCCTACCCACATGGGTAGGGGTGGGTTTGTAATGTGGTTTGGAATCCATGAAGCTTACTCATGCATATGTTGCTTGCTCTCTTTTATGCCCTTATATTTTTAAAAATACCACCGAGATTTTTATATTTTTTCAAAAAAACTATGAGGATTTTTTTATCATTAATGTCTGAAATAGTAACAAACATGATATGATGATAGAATAAATTAAAAACTCTCTATTTCTCAATTTATCCGTATTTACATGGTATGCCTGATGCTGTGACTACCATATGGTTTTAACTTTTTATTTTATTTTTCTATTTATAATTAACTAAAAATAAACACTTTTTGTGTATTTTTTTGTTTGTCAATCGTAAGTGGGGAAAATAAAACATGAAATTAGAAATGAGATGATAGTTATAATCGAAGACAAAGAGACTATGTGAATAAAGATAAGATGTGAAATATATATCCTTTAATTTATCTCATAAATTGTTCGTCAAATCTTACTTGTTAGTTTTGAAAATTACCCTCAAAGTTTAAAAAAATAATGATCATAGCGGGGTTTTTAAAATTGAGGATCTCGGGGTTATTATGATAAAGGTTGCGTTGTAATTTTTTGGAGTAAGTTCTATAATTGGTCTTATATAACATGACAAAATGATCATATTTAGTTTTCTATTATCAGATATTACGTTTGCGATTGTTTTTTTTACAGTTACATTTCTACGGATAGTCTTTTCTGACCTTTTGTCACGTTAGTTTTAAATTGATGGTTAAAAATAATTTGACAATGTAGAAATCATCCAATATAGCACCATTAAGTAATACAAAATACATATCTAGCACTCCTATCCCATTTTACACTTCTATAGCACCTCCACCGTTTTAGCCATGATTAATATCCCCAAATTACCCTTTTGCAATTGGGGGTTTATCCATCATCTTGCGCAATCTGAGGGACAGAACTTTTCGCGCACTTCCCCTTCACCTGCGTAAATTCAGGAGGGAGTTAATCATCAGCCATACAACCTCTTCTCCTATTACGGTGCTGACCAACGAGGATGAACATCATTTCGCCACCTCTAATCCCAGAGTTCCGCAGGTGTTGTCTTTGCCGGCTGCACTACCGGACACACTCTAGGGTTCAATTTCTACAAACTAATTCCAATAAAAAGCACATCATTCCAATTAATTGCCGCAGAGTTTTGCCGGAACCTTTCGTCGACCACTGCATCAACCGGGACTCTCACACATGGCTTCAGGTTAGTCTTCATTTCTTGATTAATTTTCTTTTGAATCCCAATAAAAAGCACATCATTCCAATTAATTGCCGTAGAGTTTTGCCGGAACCTTTCGTCGACCACTGCATCAACCGAGACTCTCACACATGGCTTCAGGTTAGTCTTCATTTCTTGATTAATTTTCTTTTGAATCCATTCCCAATTCCGAATTTCTGATACTCTTTTTGACGTTAAATGTGTAGTGCGTGGATTCAAAATTAGTGTTTTTCAATTTTTAATGAATTTTTGGTTTATTGCAATGACATCTTGATTTATAAGGCTAATGGACACAGTTCCTAATGGTATCGGTACTATTCTTTTGCATCTCAAAAGAAAAAAAACACTTTCTAGGTAAAATGTTTTCCACTCCACTTTGCATTCTTTGAAACGGGCAGTGAATGAGTCTGTTAAGTAATACAAGCTCAAGTACTCATTCACTATGACGCTTTGCAATTAAAAAAAGTTACCTAATCTTTTTACTCGACATTTTCATCAACCTATCTGACCACTGCATTTTATCTGTTCAAGGCTCTACAAACATGGATTCGAATATCAAGGTATTGATGCACGTTGATGGAACGTGGGATACTCTTGGAACTTTCACTTCGAAGTACGACACTGTCATTGACGTCCCTAATGAATGCTCTCTAAAATCCTCATGGACATTGTTAAAGCAGGCATTCGAATGGATTGGTCTCAAAATGACATTCGTCTCTCATACATTGTTCCCTTGTGTCCACCTCCTATTGGTGTCACTGATGATGTTGAACTGCACTTCTATCTGAAGTTGAAGTCTTACCAAAATGAGACGTCATACCTCCCATTATGCGTTGAGGTCTTACCTACTGCTCTACCCAATTCATCTTCAACTCATGTCTCAGCCAGTAACGTGTGTAACACTTCACATACGGTGGCGTGCACTGCCAACCTAACTGGCCAAAGCAACTCAAACTGCATGCCAAATGAATCCCCCGGTGGAACTTCTGAACCCTCAAATGATAACCGCTGTCATGGAGATCCCGAGGTACATAATAACGCTGCGATGGGTGGGAACTCGTACAATACCAAACATCCATTTATTAAAAACCCTCTCCCGTCTCATGCTCCTACTCTGTCTTCCAAAGGATCTCGTTCCTGCAATGACAACATGAAACGAAGCAATCGATCCAAACGTAGGAGACTTCCGACAAATCCCCTGGATGTTATTCCACATTGCCACCCAACCACTATTCAGGTTGATAGCATTTACAAGTCAAAGGAAGACCTATGCCATCATCTCCAAATGTATGCGGTGTCGAACAGTTTTCAGTACAAGACAAAGAGGTCAAATAGGACAACATTGCATGTTGTATGTGTCGACGACCGGTGTTCATGGGCAGTACGTGCGGTTAGTCTTCAAAATTCTCCATTATTCCAGATACGCAGGTAAATTCTAATTATTAAAAAAATTTTCAATGCAAGCATAATAAAATACACCAGCAGTGTGTCCTCAGTTTTAATACCATTGATGTGTAATTCGTGTGTATTTCAATATTTTCAAAGTTGTAACACCCACAGTAAAAAAACACTTGCCTTGTGCACAGATGTTCACTGCCAGCCCCCCAGATTGCCGGTTTCACTTCCAAAAAAAACCAACAAATTACACAGACTCGTACTTTGCACTCACTTCCATACCTCTACAGTTATCACACATGTCTACTCCAATTTGATATACCAACAACACCCACAGCACCAACAAATCCTACAATGACAGTGTAGAATCCATGCCGCACATCCCCGCCATTTCACACACTTCCTCCCCATTAGTCCTTACACGACCAACGTAATCAACAAAATCTGATCACAATAAACACACTGACATTCTGAACACTCATTTCAAATGAACTAGTGTCCACACACGTGCACTTCAAAATTGCTTAGTAAAAACACCCAACTCATTTAGCAAGGTGCAGAAGTTCTCATTGCCCGTAACCTTTTCATTCCACATTCACTTTTTCTGAACAATGACAAACCCCACTGATCATATGATGAATGTTTTCTTTCCTGTAGGTTTGACTCATATCATTCCTGCCCTGTTGATTTTCGGGAAGGTGATCACAGACAAGTAACGTCAGCATTTATAGCTGATCTAGTCCTCCATCGATATGTAGATGCCACCAGAAAATAGTACCCTCCTAATGACATTCGGGACAACATGCGACGGGACTTTGGCATTGCAATGTCATATAGGAAAGCACTTCTTGTAAAACAGAAGGCATTGAACAAATTGTATGGATCCGATGAAGAGTCATAACAACTACTACCATCCCTGTGCTATATGTTGGAGACAAAGAATCCCGGCTCTTCAATCCATTTGGCTAGGACCGAGGATCGGAGATACAAATATTTGTTCTTCTCAATCCATTGGTAGCTACCTACAGCAGTATTGTGCACCCATTAGGAGACAAGTCTTCAGGAAGACACCCCGTCTGACGTCAAAACACTAGTCTGCAGGCCCCCATCATGCAGCAAGCGCCCTCCTGGGAGACCAAAGAAGAGGAGGCTTCCGTCCGTTGGGGAATTTCATTATGGGAAACGTCAGAAAAAACAGAAGTGCACCCGGTGTTTGAAGACGGGACACAATATGAGAACATGCAAAAACCCAATACCAACGTGACAATTCATTATTTTTAATAGATGTTTGCGTTTCAATCCAATTTCCTCCGACATATCTTCAAACGAATAACACCTCTTTTGAATGTCTTCGGATGTTTACACAGTTTTGGGAAAGTATCATTGTTATTTTTCTAAAGACTCCAACTCTCAGGATATTCAGCCTTGTGTTACACCTTTTTATGATGTAACCACGTTAAAAAACAATGACAATTCATACGCCTGGCATATATTGAATTTCCATGTAATACGTTGCAAGCCTTCGCATCATGTCTTATGCAGTGTATGTTATGGTTCTAAAATGCCAGTGTGACACATCGGTGTTGCGTGCAGAAATTTATGCCCTCCAGGCACTGCCAAGTTCATAACCCCCCCTCGCCCCAATAAAGAACACACCACATTAGGCACCAACCATGACACCATATTGTGCTGTCCACTCCACCACGTACAGTCGTAATGTAANCCCCCCCCCCCCCCAAACATCAATCTTGAGACATATATACCACAAATGTGTCAAAAACTGGAACTGCCCAAAATCTAAATCCGAATTATTAAGACCACCATACAATCCAGGCATAACAACAATCCAACTTGTCAGACCACCACCCACTCGTATTTGGATGGGTTTTATACATTCCATACACACCCCACATGCTTGTTGGCCTTGAGACAGTATCACATGATATGTATGACAAACCCACACTGCCCATACCCCAAATCCAAACACACACTGCACACTAATTTTGAAATATACATATCACAGATGTGCCAAGGACACATTTCTTGTGTCTTTAAACAGTATACAAGGCCACATTTCTGGAATGCAGTGTGTCTTTAAACAGTATACAAGGCCAAATTTCTGAAATGCAGTGTGCCTTTAAACAGTATACAAGGCCACATTTCTGGAATGCAGCGTGTCTTTAAACAGTATACAAGGCCACATTTCTGAAATGCAGTGTGTCTTTAAATAGTTTACAAGGCCACATTTCTGGAATGTAGTGTGTCTTAAAACAATATACAAGGCCACATTTCTGTAATGCAGCGTGACTTTAAACAGTATACAAGGCACAAAATTGGGAACTGCAGTGTGCCTTTAAACAGTATACAAGGCCACATTTCTTGAATTGTAATTACTATCCTTTTTCCTTTGCTTTTTTCCTCGCTAAAAAACTAACCCCAACTGCAGCCTCAACGCCCACTGCCTCTTGCACATCGTTATGCACTGTGGCGTTTTCACAGTTCAAGTCTACCGCATCACCATCTTCAACCACATTGCATTTTTCCGCATCAGCATCCTTTCCCATAGCCTCTTCAAAAGAAACCAAAGGAGCCTGCCAGTCTGCAACGACAATCAAAACAACATTGTATCAAATTACATATCCACTAGGTGGAAACTTAAAAAAAACACACAATTAAAAGAATCAAACACATTACACTTCTGGCCTTCTGAAATGAACTAATCATGAGCCCAGTTTCCTTATCGATATGCTCGAGTTCCCGAGGATCATACTGCGTCTCAATGTAGGGAATATCAAGAAATTTGCTCTGCTTTTCAGCATCAAACGCCTTTGTCACCGACACATTACCGCTGTTGGGAGTTGGATTGTCATCACCAACGGGATCTCCTTTCGGCATTGGTGTAAGAAGATCAAACGATGGCCCCCCTGCGTCAAAATGCATCTCGACATCATCTCCGCATTTCACCGCGCTACTACTACAAGGCAAAAAAGGAAATTAAAACTAGGAAACCTGAAAATCAGCTATCCAATTCTACCATTGTAATAACCCTACATATGTACATGCATATTACTAGGATGAATTTAAATGCCTAAAACTCTTCCAATGCCACGCGCATATTAGAAACCACACAATGCCAACAAAAACACACATCCCAAGCCTCCTATATGCACACTGCACTTCAACATCACTGTATCAACCAACATACCCCCATACACTAAAACGCCTCAAACAAAGCCAACATTAGAATAACAACAAAATCAACACATCATTGAGACCGTATTATAACACATCTAATGGAAAAACCAGAAATGGTCATGGAAAAGTAAAACCCCACGACATCACAAACACACAGCAAAAAATGCCTAAAACCAAACTTGAATGGGATCAAATTAATGCACTACCACAAACAAACAAAAATCTCATAAGACCTGCAAACCCACTAATAACTTCAAACACGTACCTCCTTCACTTCCAAACTGCCAAACTCCTAAAACTACTAAAATATATATAAACCCTGTTCATCTACCTGAAACAGAAACTTTGGGCATTACAAAACTTATTCCAACACCAAATTTAGCACCATGAAGCAAAAGCCACCTAAACCTAAAAATCAAAACCAAATTTCCAAATCACCGAACAAAAAATCTTATATACAGCCATGCATAATGCCAAAAATCAAACCTTAGCGCCTACACTCTCACATGAAATTCATACCTGGACCTTCTCCATCCTTTTACTAAGCGGAATTTCATCGAGGGCATCTTCATCTGTCACTGCTTGTTCTGAACCCCGCAAAGCTTCCTCAGCGGCCATAGCAATCCGTACACTACGTCGTCTATGCGGTATAGATCCCTCTCCGGGTGTAAACTCTGTAGGCTTCCTATCTCTTCCTTCTAATGTTGGGAAGTGCGAAACAGCCGCCTAATTCACCGAGCTCAAAATCCGGAAGCATGCAACGGACTATGATTTGTGAATCTGGCGCCTGATTAGTCGTTCTCAAGAATCGGAAAAATCACTGCCACTTTCAAATCAATTCGTTTGCCTTCTAAAAACCCAGGGACAAAACCGGAATTGCACACCACACTTAATGACGGGAAATACTAATCCGAATGGAAGTGCTAAACAGGTACTAAGACATATACAGTAGTGCTACTCCAGTGCTTTTCCCTTGACAATGATCATATATCCTGCTTGCCTTAGCTAATGTCAAATGCCATTGTTTATTGCAATCATCATCTTCAAATAATGTTTGGATCAAAATCTTAATCCATAATTATACTCCCTCCGTCCCACTCTCTTTGTCCACTTACCTTTTGGCACACCATCCAATGCACTTCTTTAATCCATTTTATCTTGTAATTTGTATATTAAAAAATTATAGAAATTATATATTAATAATCTGTATGTTAAGACAAATCAAACAAGATCACACATGACTATATTTAGGCTTACACATTGAGAGAATTTGATGAGTCAAAGTGCTTAGATGAACAGTTCCAAAAGTCAAAAGTGGACAAAGAGAGTGAGACGGAGGTAGTAGTTATTATTGTTGTGTTGTACTTATACAAGAATTGCTAAATGAAAGACTAGAATCGTAGCATTTTATAATAAAAAGCTGCATATGTAAGATTTTATGTTATAAAGTTTCAGTTGTAATTTTTTTTGGCTTGGCAAGAATAAAAGTGAAATAGAGTGATTAAAAAACAAGAATAAAGAACTTGTCCAAGAATAAAAACAGTGTTTATTAGGCTCCGTTGTGCGACGTTTCTCTTCATCGTCTACCTTCTATTTTCCCTTAGATACTCCGTCGTTTTAAGCAAGGGTTCTGACTCGACTCCAGAAGAAATAGCGACCCGACTCACTCCATTCGATTCTGCGAGAGGGGTTTCATCAATTCAATTCCGCCATTGCTGTAAGCTGTGTGTCGAGTAAGCTTTAACGGGCACGGTGAGACCTCTTTGGATTGCAATTACTTCACTCCTGTTTACAATAGCTTTATCTATGCGTCTCAATTTTCTGGTCAATCGGTTTTTTTTAAAGTAACTGCAGCGGAGGAGATCGTATTTGAGTCTCTGTTGCAACTTCGATTCACCTTTTCATTTTAGTATCTTTGAGGCGTAAATTCACGTATTGTTGACGGAAACTTCAAGTAAGTTTTGTTTTCCCTCCCAAAGTCCCCTTCCCCGTCCCGTTTGAGTACTCTCCCTCATCGTGGTGATACTTAGGAAATCACTTATTTTGAGAAATCTTTCTCTGGGGTTCTTGCGGTATCTCACCAATACATGCTTTCAACATGCATAATTAAAGTGAAACTAGTTAAGAAAATTAAGATCCTTTTGCGTTTTTTTGCCAGCAAGAACTGCTTTGTGAAGGAGAGTGAAAATATTCTGCACTAACTCAATAGTAATCAAGGTGTCTCGTCTTCTTCATTAGAGATTAGGATGATCTTACATTTCTAGTTACAATTATAATAATCTACCCATTCCTTATTTTCAATGGCGGACATTGATAAACTTATTCTCTATGCGTGAAGGGTTTAAATGGATCATTTTGGTTGGTTGGAAAATTAGTTGACTATATGATTTGGTGGATTATTTTGATGCCCCTTGTTGCTTTGTATATATGATGTGAAACTGTCAATTACATTTACCACTTTTGTTTACCAGAACCATCTGTATACTTTGTGGCTGCTTTTATACGTACATTTTTATGTGATAATTATTGAGTTGAATTTGGGTGTTTTATGCTATCAGGCATGTGTGATCAAATCCTATCACTGCAAAATATGAAAATGACATCAGACCCAAATGTTTGCCAATAGCACATAACTCATGGCTCGCAAAGGAAGCCTACACAAGCATGGGTTTGATAGTAATTTAGGAAACTCAAGAAAAGAACCTTTTGATTCTGGTTCAGCCCATCCAGATAAAAAGCAAGGTAGTAATGTGAGTGAGCCAAATGTCGTCAATGGGGAAAAACACTTGAACTGTAATGTGCCAAGGGTGTCTTTAAATCAGGAACTGAATAGTTCCTCTCATTCCGAAGCAAGGATGAAGAGCAAACAGAAACACAGAAAATCGCTAAAAAAGGAGAAGCGAGATGCAGTTGTGTCAAAAGATACTGAGAATGCAGAAGTTGTAGGAGAGTGGGAGAGTCATCCTCATAAAGGAGAAGCTTCTGAGTCGAGAGAAGGAAAAGAAATACCTTCCCACAATGATCATGGTTCCGAGGAATCCGATGACCCAAAGAGCGGACACAGTCCCACATTAGAAAGAACTGCTACTCGAGAAACTTATGAGTATACGTTAGTAGTTATTTTTAGGTATTTGGGGACCATAGTGGTGTCAGTGTCAAAGTCATGTATTGAATGGATAGAGAGGAGGAAACCATGGATTAGACGTCTAAAGAGCATTGCATCAAATGCTAGTTGGTATGCTCGGAAGAAGGTTGAACAAGCATATCCTGTTGCTTTGAATTGGATTGTGAATTTTGGAAAAGTGTTGCTTTTGCTGTCAATGATTTGGTTTGACTGCTGCCTTAGAGGGATGGGCTCTTTCCTATGCATGGGGACAGCTTCACTTCTCTCAATCATGTGGTGGGGTGTTCTCTCTTTGATTGCAGTGAGCAGATTCAAGTTCCTACTGATTCTGGTAAGTGCCCACTTTTTTTCCCCGTGGAATAGGAGATGGATATTGTCTTAGATCTGGACTCTATATTTTGAATACACATAATTTTCTTTAGATGCTTTGCGTTAAGGTTGGTGTGAGTTGTACTTCATAAATACCTCACTCTTTACCTTGTATCAGCTTCAACAATGTGGTTGTTTGCCTATCTAATACTGGCATTGTGGCTGCTTTTATTTTTCTTTTGTTCATGTGTTCCCATTCTTATCCAGGCAGGTGTCTCTACATTTGGACTATTTTTTGGTCTCGAAATTGCAATTCTTACAGTATTTGTTATTGGGGTTGCTTTCTTGTGGATCTATACACAAATTTTTGTAGCAATTCCTGTCATCTTGGGTGGAGGTGATTTTTCAGCTCAGCTTCATAAGTATTGTTGATCTTATATTTTTCCCAATTAAGATTTGTAATTTTCATGATACAGTGGTTCTCGCCAGTTTGAAACACGACCGCATTGCAATGCTCATTTTGACCTTGTATTCTGTCTACTGTGGACGGACATATGTTGGATGGCTTGGTCTAGTATTGGGTTTAAACTTGTCCTTTATTTCAAGTGATGTTCTGGTATTCTTCTTGAAGAACAATTTAAATGAACAAAGTTCTGACAGCTCTCGAGAACAAACAGCTGGAGTGTCTGCTGATGTTGGTGGTGGAGGAGGAATACCTTCGACAAGTGTGCCCAACTTGGAAATGACTTCTGAAAGCGAGGTTGTTAGATTGTTGAACTGTGCAGATCACTACTCAGCTTTGGGTTTATCAAGGTTTCAGGATGTAGATATTTCGACCCTCAAGCGGGAGTACAGAAAAAAGGTTAACACACAGAGAGTTCACTACTTTTTAAAAGTTAAAATCTGCACCAAATTGAGAGTTTCACCAACCATTATCTTTTAATTTTTTTTGCATTCAGGCAATGTTGGTTCATCCAGATAAAAATATGGGCAATGAAAGGGCTGCAGATGCTTTCAAGAAACTCCAAAATGCGTATGAAGTATAAATTGCATTCCATTTCTTAATTGGTTTTCTGTCATATGCAGTTATGCACATGGTGTATGTAAGTATTGTTATTTAAAATTATTTGTTGTATTAACTTTCCAGGTTTTGCTCGATTCTTTCAAGCGAAAAACGTATGATGATGAATTGAGGAGTGAAGAACTGATGAATTACTTACATAGCTTCCGAAATACTCCTCAAAAGGTCTAATTATCGGATTTGGTTTATATGAAACTGAATACAGAGTAGTTTTTATTCTCCAGTATACACTTTATTTTAGCAGCATGCAATTGCCTACTACTGCTGAAGTCCATTATGCAATATTGCATTGTGCACCCTACACTTTACATGAAAAATGCACAGTATTCTTTTTCCAAGCTCTGTTTTTCTCAATGTGTTGCTACAACTTCAGAATCGAGGCCGCAAGTTTACACATGCAGAAGGTGTTGGTGTAGATATTCATGCAGAGTCTAAACGGATTCCCTGCAAGTGCGGCAAGTTTCATCTCTGGATTTGCACTGACAGAGCAAAAAACAAAGCACGATGGTGTCAGGTTTCTTTTTTACTTCTTCCCAATGTGATTCCACATTTTTCTAAACCAAAAGAAAAAAAGGGAAAAAGAAAGAGTAGAGTATATGCTGAGAGTTGTATTGCCATCTTCTCATCCTCACATTCAGAACTGGAATATACGTATATTTTTATGGCTCAACTGTAAACTTTAATGACTCTTACTCTTCGCGTAGGAATGTGAGGAGTTCCACCCGGCTAGAGATGGAGAAGGATGGGTTGAACAGACTTCACACCCATTCTTATATGGACTATTGATGAAGGTTTGTAATGCACATAGCCACATTAGAGTAGTTGGGTAGACCTTTAGGCCTTAGTATGTATTTTTTGTTGTTTTTTTCCCTAAAACCTTTGTGCATGTGTTTTTGGTGTGTTCTATATGTTGGGTGTTGTGGCCAGTGTCGATCTGTATTCTACTGTGTTTATTGTGTTTGTGCTTTTGGGTCTCTCCGAAATAGTCTCTCTACTTCCAATCACGAGTAAGTTTTGTGTACACAAACGCTCATAGATCCTACTTTTATGGGGGTTTAAATGGCTTGTTTTGTTGTTGGCTGAGCAGGTGGAGACTCCTTGTGCATATGTTTGTGTGGACCGCAAGATTTATGATGCAAGTGAATGGTATAGCTGCCAGGTAGAGTCCCTCACCTTATTTTTTTTAACATTTTCAAGAAAAGAGCCATATGTTAAACCAACCCCCTCCCGGTAAACGTTTGGGGCAGGGAATGAGATGCACGGCCAACAGTCACAAACCAAGTTTCCATGTGAACCCAAGCGTGATATTAAAGAGTAGCAATGAGAGAAGGAGCAGCAGCAGCAGCAGCACGGCTCGGATGCCGAACATGGAAGAGGCTGCCACCATGACTGAAGAGGAATTCATTGAGTGGGTGCGGAGCGCCGTGCAAGCCGGCCTGTTTAACACTGGCGGCAGCTCATCAGAGGCGGCTCCTCCTCCTCCTCCTCCGGCAGCAGCCGAGACTGGGAAGGGAAGTGGCAGTGCAGCGGGTGGGAACAAGAAAAAGAAGAAAGGGAAAAGGCAATGGTGAGTTTGCAAGCAGTCTCAGGAGAAAGAAGCCCAGAGAGGATCTTTTAACATCTTCATTCCCACAAAACAATACGTAGACACACAATATGGAGCAATGAGGTGCAAGAAGCAATGTGTTTATAGAGTGGATTGCCCCTGTAAATGTTTCTTTCTAGATAAAGCACTGCTTTTTACAGCTGCGGAAACTATTCTTATTTTATTTACTCGTACTGTATTACTCTTTACATTTTACGGACTAATATTATTCTGAATCACTCTTATATGCAATAATAATAATAATAATAATAATAATGATAATGATAATAATAATAATAATAATGACAACAACAACACGGTTTGCTTGACAAAACTTTCAATTGTCATGACAATTCACATTGCAATGCTCTGTTTGTAAAATTGTTGTTTCCTATTTCTTCTAATCGTCGCTTAAACCTCCTACCCCTTAGAACTTTATCCAGAAGTTGTAATAATATCTAGAAAGATTAAATTGAGATAGAGAAAATATTTATGTACTACTTTTACTTATATATCTACATAAAGTGTGTGAATTTTACGTCTTTAATAGTGTTACAATTGTTGAATAATGAAGATTTTGTGTGGAGGAAGGGAGTTGAGATTTTATGAAGAATGGCACCAAATGTTGCAGTAAGTTATTAAAATATAGTAAATGCGAATAACCCATCATTTGGTTGAAGTTATTCAACCTTATGCCTTAACTACTAAATATTTTAAAAGATATTATAAACTTAAAAAAAATCTAAGAGTATAAACACCATTAACTAATTTTAATACGGAGTTATATTAACATTAAAGTAATTTACATAAAAAAAATTTGATGTTATAATAGAAGTGAAAGTATTATACAAAAAATAAAAATGCTCCATTTTGTTGGATACTCGACAAATTTTTTACGTAACATCTAACCGAATCAACCTTTATTTAACCTTTCATTTGGTTTTGGTATAAACTGAACTTTGTCTTTACCTATCGTTATTGTTTCATCATCGAGTTAGCATTGTTACAACTTCTTGATGCTTATAACATTGTAACTCACGGTCCGTTTTGTCTTTGATTTGGATAAAAATTGAACTGTCAAAACGGTACTACTTAGAAGGAAGACTATCTTTTTGTTTAAAAAAAAAAAAAGAGCCCAAACATATTCCATGTCACAAAAGTTTTAAATTTTAATGCGGACAATGTTGGTCTGGGTGTCTGGGACCTTACCGTTTTCCTGAATGTTCTAAAAATCCCCCATTATCTTCATCTTCATCTTCATCGTCTCTTCTTCAACCGCCCGCCGCCGCGAGAACCCCATTCTAAGCAATAATAGATGATGGATACCTTTCTCCTCACAGCTGCTTCTGCTTCTTCTTCGAAAGTTGGGAGTTTGGTACTCTGCTCTCAAAACCGCAACTTTCGCTCCAAATCTGCAAAATTGCAGCTCTGCTCCTCTTCTTCAACATCTTCTTCTTATTTGCCCCTTCCATTTTCATCTGGGAAGTTGAGATTCTCGTCTCTCATAGTAGCTTCTTCCACCAATGATAATAATAGCAAGAAGAAGAATAAGAACAAATCAGACAGCCATAGTTTCTTTCCACGACCAGATGAAATCACTTTCCCTGAAGCCGTCCTCCTCAAAGAGGTAATTTTATTTATTATCCTTTTTACATTTGTATTTTTGAAAGTTACACCGATAGGTATCCGTGTACAAAATCTGGTGAAGGCTGGAAACTCAACGGTGGACTATAAACTGGGTTGTATAGATAGACCATATTGGATTGGAAAGTTGAAGGACTAGAAAATTCCTTTATGTTTTTTTCATTCCTTCCCATTATATGATATGACCAAAAATAACAGGGGAGACAAAAACGTAAAGCTAAAAAACAAGCAATGTTTTTGGCCTCCATTCTGCTGTTGCTGCTCTCAATGTCCAGTATTGCCCCTTCCGTTAATCAATATCCAACATTTCTGCCTTAGGTGTTCAGTGTATTACCGCCTTGACTGCCCAACAATGTCCATCAGCCATATAACTTCAATGCCCATTGCCTTCACTGCCTTCATTGATGATTGCCTCAATGGAATCTGGCAATGGAGGCAGAGATGAATGGATTGGATGGCCGTGGGAGATGACAAATAGCTTCACCATAAATGAAGAATAAGAATACCAATGTGTAGGCCACCAGCATCAGGTAGCAAGGCCTTCCAACAAATCTCATGGAGATCAGCTTCCAACCATATAATCTGTCTCCCTGAGAAAATACCTAGTTTAGTTAGGTGAATTTGTGAATAACAAAATTTCAACTAATACCATGCATTGTTCATCCTTCAGATAATCGAGAGTAGATATTATGGTGTCTTTGTGGACAATGTGTCTGGAAGGAAGAGAATGGTGTGCTGATGATTATGGGTCTATTAATTGGTTATACAGGCATAATAGTCATATGAATTTAGTTAGTTGTTCATCATGAATGGTATTCTTTTAATAATACTAAATAGAAACTACTTTGGGAATAACATTATTAGAGTAGTCATTTTTAGTGAAGGTGATGAAATTTCAATCATCTTTAGGACATTTATTTCATCTTCGATGGTGTTGATTGGATGCTTGCAAGTTTCATAGCTGGTTTGAGATTGGTTCAGTTGCACAAGCACTGTTTACCTCTTTTTATCTCATATGCTAAGGGATTAACATTTTCTTTAACAGGTGAAGCCTGGAGAAGATGGTAAGCTTCTGCCTGAGTTTGCTGACGCGGAAGAACGTAAGTGTTAACTGTGAATGTTGGGAATGTATTCCCTGATCATATGTCTGGTGGCTGAGATTGTTTCATTTGCAGGAGCTCTTTTTGACTCCTTGAGTCTTCAGCTGGAGAGTGATTTAGATGTGGAAAGAAGTAAGCGTGACCCTTTGAGTCTTCACCTTTATTCATTATTGGTCAAGAAGTAAATAGCTGAATCACTTTAATAGTGACCCTTTGCACTCAAAGTAGCTTACAAAATAGTATGAATTTGTTTCTATACTGCTTGGTAATAAGTAAACGAGTTTGATTCTGCAGTGCGCCACTATGAAGTTGTTTACTTGATTCATGAAGACCACAAGGATAAGGTAGATAGTGTCAATATGATGGTTCAAGGTCTGTCCTACCCGCTTCTATAATAACTTTTTATTAGTCCTTGCTTCTGGCTGGTTGTGAACTTGAGAATGTCTACTCTTGAAATGTTATACTCCTGCATAGTAGTTTTCCTTTTCTTCATTTGTCTCGGCTCAGAATCTTTTTAAGAACTTGGAAGCTTGATGCTTTTTTAGATTTTTTGAAGGAGAAAAAAGGAAAGGTTTGGAGATTCAACGACTGGGGTATGAGAGGACTGGCTTACAAGATACGAAAAGCGAACCGCGCGCACTACATATTGATGAACTTTGAATTAGATGCCAAGTGGATAAATGATTTCAAGGAGTTGCTGGACAAGGATGAGAGAGTCATTCGACATCTTGTCATGAAGAGGGACAAAGCGGAAACAAAGGATTGCCCGCCGCCTCCGGACTACTATTCTTTATCCGGTGACGATGAGGTAATGGATGAGTACGGCGATGAAGATGAGGGTAATGATGATGAGATTGAAGCTGAATTGGAAATGGATGATGATGGTGATGATGATGATGATGATGATGATGGTGGTGGTGATGATGATGACTTTGATGGTGATGATGATGGTGATTATGATGATGAAGATGCTGATGATGATAATGATGATGATGATGAATATGATGATGATGATGATGGAGGTAGCAGGCTGAGTATTCCAATTCTGACCAGAAGGGAAAAGGAATTGGCAAGAGTGTAGGCAGGCTGTTTGTATCTGGCCTCAAAGTACTATTTTTTTTCTTTTTGTTTGAGTATATTAATATTTGTATATATGCACCACTTTTTTTTAACCTAGTGGCTCACTAAGATGCAGACCTAATGACGTTTCATTTGGGAAAATCTTGGTTGTCTCTCGACCACAAGGCCTTAGCGGCCGAAAGCACTATTGGTAGTATGTCTTGTTTACTTGTGAAACGAAGGCTTTGTTTGATAATTGGTTGTTTTGTACTGATTGGTTTAGTTGTTCGGTTGATCAAATGTCCGTGAAAAAAATGTTTGGCAAACCCATTTTATAAATAGCTGTTGTAGATAAAAGTATGTTTAAGGACATATCTTTACATATAACTCCCTTCGTCTTATTTTATATTGTCTATTTTGACTTTGTCTCATAAATAAAAATAATTAGAAAAATCAAAGTTGACCTTCCAAAAATACCCTCAAGCTAAATTTATTGAAGAAGGAGAAACATCTAAGGGCACTTGCTCTGTATGCACACAAACATTACACTACAACATTTTCACTCTCTTTGAGCATCATTATAGGCTTTATTGAATGTTAAAGTACACCCAAATTCATCAACACAATAAAAAATGGAAGATTAATACAGATGTCTCTTTCTTCATTATCACAAGACTAGACGGCAACATCAAGGCAGCGTCCTGTTCAACTTATTTTTTCTGTTTATTATTTATTCTTATTATAATCAGATCAGACAAAAACAGACCAGATTAAAAACAGCTTTAATTATAACAGCAATCAGATCAAATCAGACCCGATCAAATCTTCAAAAAATTAGATCAGATTAAATCAAGCAAACGGAATGCTACCCAGATCTCCCAAGGAAGCAACAGTGCATCATTCATTCAGTAGTCCTCATCCCCGCAGCTACCTATCAATTCAAATTTTATTATATAAATCTTTAAGATCTGAAAAACATGAAGATGGAAAATTAGTATCAGTTCAAATTTCATCATACTCCGTAAAAATCTTCAAGTTTTAGACATATAGAATCACTTTTCATCAATGTGTAAAACATTGTGAAAACTTTTCAACTTAGGGTGGATGGGCATGTTGTAAGGTTCTACCTGATTTAAACAAAACCTCAACTTTGAAATTTTATTAGCATCTGTTAGGTATGACAAGGGCAACCCCCTCCTCTATTTGTTTCTTTGCAATGGCTTCATTCTCTCTTAGCTCATATGCAGTCGCAATCTTCATTGTGATGCTCTTCGGGCCACCGATTTGCCTTCCGAGATGGGAGGTAGCCATAAGGTAAATGGTGGTGGAGGGGAGGATGTGCGAGTCGTGAGCCACAAAGTTCAAGGGACCATGCATGAGGGACTGTATGTAATTGCAGGCCGGTTTTCACGACGGTGACTGCCATGGACTATGCCCCGTCCCTGATTTTGCATAAAAGCATGTTCGTAAAATGTTAATAAAATTCTGGTGTCGCCATGTCACTGAAACTGTATTCTAATCAAAGAATGGTTAATGTTGGATATCCAGGGCGAAGGGTCTGATCACATATTCATAATCAAAAATCAAATATTTGAAAAGGAAAGGAAAAAACAGCCCACAGAGGAAAAGCATGAGATAGATACCTTCAGCTCTGTGATATTCACTCATAGTCTGCTCATGTCCTGTGCTGATTAATTTCAGATATCTTTTTCATCAGAACCCCTGAAGAAAGCAAATTCTTTAACGCCGTATTCTCCTCGTTCAGAACCACCCAGCTACAAATTAGAAGAAGCAAAAGATCTTCAAATTAAATGAACTCATCGAAAAACAAAATAGAAGAAGCAAAGGATCTTCACCTGCATTCTCTGTCAAGTATTCTTAAATCTAAATGGCTTCCAACATTAGAGCCAAATCATGCATTTCTCCATTAAATTTATGATTCTTCACACCAAGGCTACATTTGAACTTTCAATTCCTTCTAAGAAGCTCAGCTCACCAAGACACTGTCTAAATGTCGAATTGCGTCAGCATACCCAATATGGCTAACCAAAAAGCGCACAAGAATGTTCCACGTAGACGCGTTTGGGAGAATTCCTTCATCTACCATCCTGCCAACACAATCCGTAGCTGTTTCGAAATCGCACATTTCACAGAAACTGGATATGAGACAGGTATATGAAACTATATCCGGCTTCCATCCTTCTGATCTCATTGCATCAAGAAGCTGGCAGGCAAGTTTGACATTACCTCCCTTGCAGTAAGCATTTATCAGTATGTTGAATGTGAAAACATCGGGCTTTATTCCCCTGACGAGCATCTTCGCAACAACTTTTGGAGCTTTTTCAAGCATCCCAGAAGCTATAGTGTGATATGCCCCCAGATCAAGCTCAACTCCCTTTCTCTCCATCTCCACTAAAAGCTCCAATCCAAGGGAAAGGTTGTTGTTTCTAAACAACCCATTCAGTAGCTCCTTGTACGTGGTTGCATCTCTGGAACACCCAAACATTTCCATTTGATTGAATATCATGATAGCCCAATCAACTTTACCACTTGCACACAAACCTTTCAAGAATACATTGAACGTGACGGTGTTTGGGGGGCAATTTTCAACCACCATGTTCTCCATGATTTCATAAGCACGGTTGAACATGAAATTTTTACATAGGGCATTCACCATACATGTATACACCACAACATTTGGACGGAGACCCAGCACTGCCATCTTGTTCCACATCTCAGATGCACCACTCAGATCCCCAGATTTTGCAAATCCGTCTATGAGAGTGCTAAAGGTTGTCAAATTCGGAGGGCAGCCGTGTCTTTCCATCTGGTTGAAGACAGATAAAGATGCGTTCATATTTCCAGCCAAACAAAGCCCGCGTATCAATGTGTTATATGCAATAACATTAGGGAAAACCCCTTCCTTGATCATACCATCCCACACAATGAGTGCTTCATTCCACCTTCTGGCACCACACACTCCTTTAATCAAATTGGTAAAAGTGTAGATGTTGGGAGAGCATCCTCTCACAAACATTTTGGCTAAGATGGAAAGGGAGAGTGGGACGTTACCCAACTCCGACGAAGCATTCAATATCGGCGTGTAAGTAATGGTATTCGGAGTGGCACCTCTGCGCATCATCTCATCCAACAACTCGATTGCCTCCTTCACTTTCCCCTGCTTGCAAAGCCCATTCACGAGTGCATTGTAAACCGAAACAGTGGCACCGAATGCCATGGCCAAGTCTCTAGCCTCTTCCACCCTGCCCAGATCACACAAAGAGGACACGATCGTTGTATAGCTCACATCATCAGGAGGGCAACCCTTCTGAGACATTTCATCGAGCAGCTTGCCTGCACTGTCTACCCTGTTATTCTTGCACAGGGCTTTCAGAAGAATATTGTATGTGAACAGATTGGGAGCAATGCCGTCTTTCTTCATGTTTCTATACACAGGATTGATCATGCCGAACCTGTTCTCGCCCAGCAACGCGTCCAGCAGATGATTGTAAACCTTCACCGTGGGTTTCCAGCCGAAGTCTTGCATTCTGTAAAACACTTTCAAGGACTGAGACGCAGCCTCGACTTCCCTGTAGAAATTGATCACGGCGACGAAGGTGTGCTCGGAGCAATGGATCCCGTCCAGGTGCATTTGCTGCAGAAGGTAGTGAACTCCGTCCATCATCCCGCTGCAGCCCAGTTTCTGGATCATCACTCCGTATGTTCGCTGGGTGTGCTTGAAAGATTTGGAATTGGAGACGTATTTGAAGAACTCAAAAGCCAGCCCGGCATTGGGCTCGTTTCTCAGCCTCCTCAGAACCTCTGATTCTTCAAAAACCGTGGGGTTCTTATGATCATCGGAAACCAAGTCCGCGTTTGGGATCACAGGTGCCGGCGGTGGTCTGGGCGCTTTAAACAGCGACTTCCCCCATCTCGCTGTCAGAATCATTTTTCAAGGGAAAGAAAAAGGGAGAAGCTTTGTGAAGTTGTATGTTGGAACTGCCCGCAAATAAAAGCAGCCGGGGAATGCTTATTGGTCAGAGATTACGGTGTACTATAGAAGATATTCATCAATCGTCATCAGTTTATTACTACTGGTAAAATTCACGAAGAGGATGAGATTGTGAGAATCGTAGCTATAAGTCCCCCCAGGTCTAGAAGTTCCCGTCGGAGCTTATTTCTTTCTTTTAGAACTGCCCATTGCCAAAGAAGATTTGAGGAACGGGTAGGCTGGATAGCGAAGAAAAGATTTTTTATTTGTCAATAATATTACTCCCTCTCCCCTAATTTTATTACAAATTTGGAGTTGTCAAATCATCTTTTGAAATCATTTTATTTATAAATTAATACATCAATAACATATAAAAATTATATACTAAAAGATTATGTCAAAAACTATACAAAACGAGATGTGTCGAGAATATTGTATTTTATCAAATACTAAATGAAAACACATAAATAAATACAAATTATCGAGATGCGAGAAAAAAAAATTGTAATCTGATTTAAGATGGAGGGGGTATTTAGATCAGATACAAATTTAAACAAAATTAACAAGTTACGAGATTAAAATTTAAAATCTTTTAAGTTTAATTTAAACATTCGAATGTTGTTCGATAAATCATGTTATTTAACAAAAAAACACATCCCTTTGGATTTTGCTCTACACATAGAGTTCAAGATATTTTTGAGATACACAAAACTTGGATACGTGTTTTAGATATTTACATCTTCGTTTCTGAAAGCATGTTTCATGCAATTTCCTAATTCTATCAAATTTTTTCACGTTCTTCAAATATCATTCCTTATAACGTTGTTATGCATGGTTTCCCCTTCTCAATTTTTCAACATAAGCCACGTCTAAAAGAACTTAGTTTTCTTTTTTAGTTGTTTCAATCAAAATTCACATCCCAATTAAAGGGTAAAATGAAGGTTCACCTGAATTCTCGTTGGACAATTTCATTATTTTAACCATTGTAAACTAATTACTAAGTTTAGAATATAAAAAACTATTTCCCGATGACCTATAACGAATGTTGAAAATTATATTGATTAACTCCTACTTTACCACAACAAAAACACAAATTGTATGAACAATAGTTTTGTTTTATTACGTCATACCCAAATGTCAAAATATAGTACTTTGTCAAAATTTGAACAGTATATGAATATGATTGGTGAAATACTTTTGCAAAGTTTTTATATGTTTAAACTCAATTTTTTTGTCATTCACCCCTTAAAACAATCAACAATTATTTAACCGCATCCGTGAATAACATGGCAGACGTGAATACATCAATAATTCAACACTCCGTATATATGAAAAGAAGAAAGAGAGGACACAGCAATTTGTATGTGCTTATGTATAATTATTGTTTATTCACTCATCACTTCTATTGATTGTATGCAGCCCCAAAAGTGAACTCAAAAACTGACAGAATTGCATTCACCAATTTTACAATGACTGATATATATATGTATGTATGTATGTATCCAATTAAGTGCTTATAATAAAGCACAGACACCGTGGAAGATATCATTGAGCCTCTTCTCGTGCATTGCGTCTCAAATTTTCTATATCTGCACATACAGATTATTAAGGTGATGACGTAACGAACATATATTACTCGCATTAAGGTCAACATATCAAGACAGAAGAACAGTGAGGAATCACATACATACCATTATCTGAGATAGCCTCAAATACACACAAGAAAGTGTGTATATGGAACATCCAATCAATAAGGCAGCGATTGCGTTATAGAGCAGACGTTTGTTGTCTTTGCTTGGAATAAGTGCACCTTTTAATGTATTTGTCAATTCAAATAGCCTATAAGAAACCTGCACATGTACGTGTAACAAAACAAGGTTCATTAATATACGGACTCTCGTGTGTCGTGTCACGCCTCATGCTTATTAATTGAAAGAAAAAGGAAAAAAAGCTGCATGGCTCTCCTTACAACAACAGAAATGACAGTTGTAAGCATGAAGTTCAGCAATGGGTAGCCCGGGATGAAGCATAGCAGCCTTTTGGGCTGAGCATCTGGCACGCCCGACCTGCAGTATTGTTTTGCTACTGTTAGTTGTTAATATACATAAATTAGCATCAGTAATCCACAACACAGAAACCTCCAATTCAACATTTCAACTAACTAATAGTCCATTGTTCCTTGTTGTGGTCATAATAGAGACACCAAACACAAATAAATTCACCGCAAGAAAATACTAATACCTTAACCATATGTGAAACTGTGAGATGTAAGTCTCCAAAGTTATCTTCCCGAGCCATCTGTTATTCCCAAAAGGAAAATAGAGTGAGAGAGGGTTGGTTTACTAAGCTGTCCACTTAAACAAAACATCTGAGTGTTTTGTTTGGATTTACTGGAAATAAAATATATGGAGTACTCACTATGACTCTCTTTTTTCTATTGCGTTTTAAGGTCACTTACGCTATAAGTGTCAATGAGTAGCTGCGTAGTGACTGGGTGAGATTCCTTAAGCAAATGAAAACTCTGACAGCATGAGGAATAAGCCACATATCAAATCAATGTGCATGACAAGACACTTGACCAAATCACAAACTAACAGTTAGACAAGGTCTCTAAGCATACGTTATTGGAATCCACGATGTATACGGATGATATTTATTGTACATGATCTTCGGGAGCTTGTATACGTGCTCATACCACATGTATCCAATCTGAAATTCATAAAACTGTAACATCAAACAAATGCAGGAATGTAAATATTCATTAGCTATTAAAATAAAAATATATTCTCTTACCGCCAGTGAAGTTATTGCAACAACTGTTTTAATAGTTATTCGTCGCTTCACTTCTGTTTCCTCGAGTTTCTCCATCCACATCTCCACCTTGAAATTAGATATCCAGCAAGAATAAAACCAAAATCAAATACAGGTAGTGAGAAGGTACGAAATCACGGCTTTACAACACTGGACTAAAAAATTAATGACAAATACAAACTATCCAGATCCACCATGCAACTTACTGTAGGGTGGAAGTATGCATATATCATCCCAATGATCCATATGTAACGGTCAAGGCCAGAACGGAAATGCCATTCGTGCAACAATGGCAATTTTTGTTTAGAAGGATCCGGGTCAGCATACCCTAAAATGATGTAATAGGAAAGACATTTAGATATTCATATTCAGCATTAAATGCGGGACAGTATAAGTAACAAAAGGTGCATACTACCAACCAAGTAAAAATGTGAAAGGGCTCCAAACAAGGTCAAACATTCCAGGTATCTCCCAGATCAGTATGACAACGACAAAGCAAGCCACGATCTTGGTAGCCATCACAGAGCCATTTTCATTGTATTTGTTAAAAATACTCAATGCACCATAAACCATCAAAGTGAAAAGAGTATGCATTGGACATATGTAGTACAGCATGTAGTTGTTGTTTAGAACAATGCAGCAAAAGAACGCCAAAAAATTAAGCCGCCACATCATCTGCCCGGTACAGATAAACTTTCAGTGTATTGTTTGGTTGAGAAAGATTTCTTGGTACAAAGAAAAGCTAGTACCTGAGCAAACCGTGCTATGCTAAAATCTCTTCGGATATAATAGTATGCAAAATTCCCGAATCCAGTCATCCATACGTAAGCAGCTATACACACTCTAATAGCATTGTAAAACTCTGCAGCAACGAAGTAATGATACATCAGGAACAATACCTGTGCGCACAAAAAAAAATCACATTAGTGAACCCCAAGCACAAGCTTATAAGCCACAGTGTTACTCTCCTGTGAAATATGGATGCACACAAGTGTACAACAACTTCTAATCCCTCATATGAGTTATTTAAAGATTTCTTCTGGTTGAACGAAACTATGGAATATGCACAGGGAAATAACTTTACCTGCATCCAACCTTTCCACTCCTCTGTCTGATGCCTGTTTAAGTACATCAAGGATTTCCCAGAGAATGGGGATTTATCATGGTGGATCTTAAAAGAAGAAATTGCAGAAACTATGATGAATAGGAGGTAAAGGAACAGGAAAAGGTCCCGATTATAATTCTGCAAAACAAACAATCATGTTTAAAGGCTAAAGCGAATGAAAATGGATATATTTTGCATTTTCCTTTCGTTTTCTTGGATATGGGGGAGGAGGAGATGGAGATGTTGGCAGACCTTTCTTGATTCATTGAAAAGATTGGTACGGTCACAAACGTAGAAATAGAACAAAAGAGCACCAAACTCTGATCTGCAAGGGGAACATTCGTAACAAAAGAGAGAAATGGTAAACATTGATCTATAGTACACAACCAAGTCTGACAATTTGAAAAGAAAGTAAAGTCCTTACATAGCTCTCAAAATCAACCGGTTTTCAAGCAAGAATGTTTTATCCATCAAGAAGAGCCTAGAATTGTGAATAAACAATAACACATGACGAATCTGCAAACTTGAAATAATACTCATTATTTACCAACACAATGTCCGGAATTTGAGAAACCTGAAAACTTGAGATGTTACTGATGATGAAATGTGGGCTCTTGGAGGATTTGAGTGGATGCCAATGCCTTTCTCTAACAGAGCAGATTCATCGACTTCTTCTTCTTCTTCTTTAACTGCTTCCTTGCCTACCTCCACCAAATTGGCATCAGAATGCCTGCTGTAGTGCAACACCTACCAATTTATAAATTCTACAAAGAAGACGACTATCTAGGTCTAAATCTCAAATTAACTTGGACGTACAGTTTGGAAGAAGGGAGATTCCTGCTGTACTCCAAGTACTCAGAATACAACCAAGCCGCGATAAGCGGTACGATTCCGATAAAAAACGACACCTGCAATCGGCACATATATGTATAATTCTTCTAATAATAAACACAGGGAGTGCAAAATGTATAGAACAGGAAGAGCAGCGTTAGGTTCTTCTAACCTGGCCAGGTGTTAGGGGTCCGTAGATCAACACCATTGTTATAATGCTTACTGTTCTTCCTCCTTCCTGAAAGCACTGGACTGTGAGTAGAGAAGCTCATGGGTTGGGATACGATGCCGGATTTATATATGTGCGGTTTCAATTGCAAGAGAGGAGATGGTGAATCGAATGTGATGGATGATGAATTTAGGGAAATGAGCCCTAGATTTGGAAGGGAATTTAAGTTGTGAGGAATAAGGCTCTGTATTTGCTCACTTCTTCCATACATATCTTCATCCTTCTCAGCTGGAGAGATCATAATTTTCCAGCTTTAGCGCCTGAAACATCAGTTGAATTGGAGTCTATCTTAGCAATTTTGAAATCAAAATTTGGTTATATATACCCTCCCTATTTCAAATTAAATCGTTCATTTCACCTTATTATATTTGACTATATTGATTTTTCAATTCAATTTAGTCCAAAACTCGAGTAGAATTTAAAATAATATCATATATTTAAAAAATATTCAGATTATATCAAATGAAACAAGAGATTGCATGATATTTTACTATAATTAAAATAGATAAAAGAAAATGAATAAAATTTAATCATGTGAATAGTAAATAAATAAGTTAAATAGTGACGGATGAAGTACTTATTAAACAAATACTTTATGACAGAGGTAATATCATGTACTTCGTTATTCACAAACACACAATTATTATCTAGGACGTATTGAACATAGATAGTCATTATTTAAATTGCATATTCTCCCCGTTCAGAGTATTTGTCCAATTTTTACTTTTTTTAGTTAATCACAATCAACTTTTGATGACTTATAATTAAATAAAAATATATGGTATTTAAATTTTAAAAAAAAACAATATTTTGAAAAAATTTCTTACAAGATAAAACTAATAAAAATATTTGTGTATCAATATCTAATATAAATTTTATTTGATATATAGTTAAATCTTATCAATTTTAATTGCAAAATATTAAAAATGAACAATTACTCTGAGACAGAGGTAGTACTAATTATTTTCTATATGGTTTCAAATTCTAATACTTCGTATTATAATAGATTTATCTGGTTTTGAATTTGTTAAAACAAGAGAAAGTGTTGGGGGCGTGACTTAGTTAGCTCATCAAAAGGTGCCAGCATTCGAGTTCAAATTCTAACAATTGGACAATTATGTTAAACATAGACTTCTACAAATACTATGTACAAACTTGGCTACTTGCCAACCAATTGGTTATTAGGCCATCCGTTATGCGATTTGACAAACCGGCGTGACCACTGCGACACCACCACCAAACTTCGCTATTTGTTAACCAATCCTAATTTAGTACATTCTCACACATCCTTACTTTTCATCACAACATACCCTATCTTTTTACACCATGTCATCGAAGGGTGCCATTTTGCCAGTATAGAGTGTACTGTCTATGGTGGTGTGAAGTCAACAAAGAAAAAAGAAAAGGGTAAAAAAGAGGGAAGGACAGCACAGGCACGTGGCTGCTGCTTGGGCTAGCACGTGTTCTCTGAAAACGTTCCATATACGTCGTCACTCCGAGCGGCCAAAGCTTGGAACCCCAAATCCCTCCGCCCCGGAGTTCCCCTGAATTTCTTGTTCTAACACTATCCCCTGCTATTCTTGATTCATCTTTCTAAGAACTCTAGGATTTGTGCTCTTAACCCTCGGTTTCCGATTTCTTTCTTCTGTCACTGTTGCATTACAATCGTGAAAGATTTTATCTTTCTCGTTCTTTCCTTTTTTGTTTTCGTTTGGGAATTCATTGTTGACATTCCAGATATTATCATCGGATATCGGGTCTCTTTTATGGAATTTGAGGAACCTGTGATTCAGCATTCAATCGATGTTGGTGTTGGAGCAGGGAATCATGCGGCTCCACGCGTAATTCCTGGACCGCAGCCGATTAGGGTTGCAAGAATTGTTGTTCCCTTTCCGCCTCACCGGGTCGTTACATCTAGGGTTGGATTCAACCTCGACGTGTTCTTGAGAATGGAGATGGAAAGGTCTTCGTCTCTCTCACAGGTTGGTAACGTTTTCATATAATGATGAGCTGCAATGCGCGTTTCCATATCTTGATTTTCCTCGCCGTTAGGGTTTCGGTTTCATTTTCAAATCTTCTTTTCGTTCCTTCAGATCATGATGAACGAGGGTTTGGTTCCATCAGAAGAAGATGAATTGAGGAGGAGAAATGCCATTCACAAGTTAAAGAAGGTTTATTTGTGGGCAGAAATGATATTTCTATTCAAAGCTTATTCTTTGTCTGCATTTAATGTTATGTAATTTTCTGCTTGAGTTGAGATTCACTTTTTTAAGTTCATAATTCGAATCTTATTGGAATGCAATTACAACCCACAGATAGTAATGGAATGGATTAAAAGGGTTGCTTACAGACACCAACTCCCAAAAAGATACCTCGCTATGGCCTCGGCTAGGATTTTGACTTTCGGTTCATATGGACTTGGGGTAAATCAATTTGGTCTTATAACATATAGTGTTATGAGGGTTTAGGTGTACATATTTGCCTTTGACTTGTGTCAGTATACTGTTCAGGCTCATAACGCGTCATCGGACATTGATGCATTGTGTGTTGTCCCCTGCTTCGCTAATATGAGGGTAGGCCTCTCTGGTTTCTGGTATTTCAATTGATTATTCTCTAATTATTTCTTGAAGTGTCAATTTTTGTTTTTCAATAAAACAGTTCATTTTGTTATGTATTACTGTAGGAAGACTTTTTCGTTTTGCTGTACAACATACTTGCCAGCAGACCTGAAATCTCAGACATCTACTGTGTTAAGGATGCTAAAGTTCCTCTGATGCGCTTTAAATTTGATGGGATCTCCGTTGATCTTCCATATGCTCAACTTAAAGTAATATCCATCCCAGAGGTGATTTATGGCGCCCTTCAATTTCTACGTGTTTTTGCTTCTGTAACTGCTGGTTGTGTTTGATATTTGGATTTCTCAGAGATCTAACCATGCGATCTGATGTTAATGCAGAATGTGGATTTGTTCAACCCATTTTTTATGAGGAACATTGACGAGAGCAGCTGGAAAAGTTTATCAGGAGTACGTGCTAATAGGAGTATCCTTTCCCTTGTTCCAAGCATTGAGGTACATTAATGAATATGCAACACAAAAACAAAAAAACAAAAGTCGATACACGCCTTCTTATTCTTAAAATACACAACCACATGATGTGTTATTCAATTTTGTTTTAATCAATCCTCTCTCAAGATCTCTCTCTCTCTCTCTTTTTTTGTGTGTGGGAAAAACATCAATGGTGAGTTGCATAAAATTTTGAGTTATCAACTGAGAAGGCTATGGGAACTCTCTATGAGATTTTGCATAGTACTTTGGGACAGAATCTGCTATTTATATCCAGATGGGAGCATGGTACGATCAATCACATCTTTTATTTCTTGAAATGTTGTTTGAACAGGAATTCCAATCACTGCTGCGCTGCGTTAAGTTATGGGCAAAGAGACGAGGGTTGTATGGAAATGTAAGGGTTGTTTTCTATCCATGCTCATGTTTTACTACACGCTTACTTGGGCCTTTGTTTGGTTCGAAAGAGGATGAAAACAGAAGAGCTTAGGGAGTTTCTAAAGATGCTATGTTTGATTCAATAGAGAGTGAGGAGGGAATTATTATGGCAGGAAAATAGATGTTAAATATCCCTCCTTCGCCACCAAACAAGGGCTTAAGAATGAGTGAGTCACCACAAGCCTAACACCGGCATGCATTACTACTACCTTCACTTCAGTTGCTAGGATTTTTTGGTGGGATTCATCTAGCAGTCCTTTCAGCATTCGTGTGTCAAAAGCATCCAGCAGCAAAGTTGAGTTCCCTGGTGCTGATCTTCTTCAAGACATTTGCCTTTTGGCCTTGCCATGCTCCGGTAGTCCTGCATGACAGGTCGATGAGGCCGTCTTTCATCCCCGGAGAAAAACACGGTCTTTGGCCTATCCACTTGCCGGGCAGTGAGTCTGATTTCTGTCATTCCAACATCACCAGAAGCACTTACCACAAAATCCGGGCAGAGTTTCTCAGGGGTCATGCTTTGACAAAGGTATTTCTGAATTTCTTGTTCAAGTTGAAATTAATCTTGTGATGATGAGTTATGATACATGTATGTGCGTGTGTGTGCAGGAGATGTTGAGTCCGGGTTTTGATTGGAGCGAGCTGTTTGAACATTTTCCATACGGGAAGATATACGGGCGGGTAGTGAAGATATCACTGTCAGCTAGTGAGAAAGAGGAGCTGGAGGTGTGGGTTGGGTGTGTGAAGTCGCGATTCAGATGGCTTGTGGTGAGGCTGGAGGAGGAATTGCAGGGATTCATCGACCCCAACCCAACCGAGTACCATCATGTTTGCCCAGCAGCAGCAGGAGGAGGAGAAGAAGTAGTGTTCTACTGGGGGCTGCAGCCGGGGAGAAGCAAGTGGATAGACATAGAAGCAGTGGAGGGCGAGTTCAGGAAGACATTGAGGAACGTGTATCATCATCATCATCATCCTGGCTCTTCTTCTTCTCCTTCTTCCACGGCGAGGGTGAAATTATCCGTTGTGAAGGCCTCCTCCCAACAACAACTTCTCCTCGGCACTAACAACAAAAACAATGACAACAACAAGGAACAACGACGACAACAACATGTTTCTGCAAATGCACCAACCCCGGTTGCCGCCGGGGCTTAAGTTCCCTTTCTCCTACCGTGCTGGGATGTACATACATTACAGAGATAGATTGGAGGAGATATACGAAGAGAGAGAGAGAGAGAGAGATCAGAGAGAGAAGAAGAAAAAACATACATATATGGATGGATTTGTTTGTAACTTGTTTCGCTACGGTTAATTTGTTTTGTGGCAACTAACGCCACTTTAACAACAAGTCATAATATCATAATATGATGGGTGGGGATAAAGAAAGAAACATATATGAAAATTATACTACTACGTTTTATTACACATCTTTTGTACGTACGTATGTGTGGCTGCGCGCAGATCAGAGAGAAAACAAAGTGTGAGAATGGTGTCTTACGTACAATCATTAGAAGAAGCATTAATATGGAGGAGTACGATTCTTCTCTGCACACAACTCAACCGTAACCTTTTTTTTTAATCTTTCTTAATATATGTGATAGGTAGACCAATAGTTAAAAAGTGTGATGTGGTAGTAAGTTAAGAATTAGTATGGGTAAAGTGACTTTTTAATAGAAATAAAAAAAAGTTTTTTGAGAAAAAAAAAGAGAAATATTTTGTGAGACGAAGAGAATATTTTTGTATGTGGTCAATTGTTAAATCTAAACGGTAAAATAAAATATAAAATCTTGTCATCAAGTCTGAATGTTATGGGGCTTGATCACCCTCCATCACGACCCTCTCATTAAAGTGACCACCATCACGCAGTGTTGGCTTCCCCCTTCCCAATTATTGTTTTCTGTTTTTTATATTTTAATTAATTAAAATTTAACACATATTCACATCCCATTACTTTCTTTTATACTTACAATAACATAAATATTTTTCTTACTCCCTCCGTACTAAAGATTTTCTCACACTATTCACGGGTCAAATTTAACTTATTTTGTTTACTTATTTTTACTACTTATTTCATAAAATAATATAGTCTTGTCACTTCTAGTTTTGTAAAGTTTTTCATATAGTTTTTTACTATATGAATTCTATTTTTAAATTTTACTTCTATAATCAAATAAATTGAATTTAAAAATAAAATCAGTCAGGCCTCGTAACACGTGATAGAAAGAGGGAATATCATTTTTAACATCATGTCCTTTTACAGTTTTACACCATCAAGTACCTCATAACAATGGTGTGTGAATTAAAGAATAAAGACATTGAAAGCTTGGAACAATGACCAGGGATCGAGTCCTGCAAACGGCAGTGTGGGAGCTATTCAAAAATTCCATAAAGGGTGAGGAGGCTCCTTGTGCGCAGTGGGCACGGGTCTAGCGTTGTTGGCTGACTGAGTTACCATGATTTACTTCCTCCACCATTCCTGTCGGGCAAGGGGGTGGGGGCGCCTGGGGTGGGCGATTCCACCTTTCTGAAACAAAGAATAAAGACATTGAAGGTGGGTACATAGGACATGTGGCAATGCGACATTTCAATGTCTTTCTTCGCTAAAGTCAAATGCAATACGTATTCCCCTCGCCACGTTGTTCTCTTTGTCGTCTTTAATTTTTTTCTTTTAATTCCTCCCACATGATCACACTCATTTGACAACTTTTGAAAGTTTTTTTGAAAGTTTGTGCCATTGCTTGCCCATAGGGTCATGGATGTATACTCCCTCCGTCCTCATCCTCAATTTGATAACAAATTGAGGTTTATTAGGAAAAAAAATTTCTTACTTTTTTAAATCATTTTATTTACAAATCTGTATATCAGTAAAAAAAATATATTTATATATTAAAAAATTACGCCAAAAGTTCTAAAAAAAGATGTGACAAGAATATATTATTTTATTAAATAATTAATGAAATCGCGCAAATAAATAAAAATTATCGAGAAGGAGAGAAAACAAAATGTAATCAAAATGAGGATGGAGAGAGTATATGATATCTCACCCATCAAAAAAGAATGTAACACTATTCATTCAAAATGATGTGATATTTTAAATTTTTTTCAATTCATATTATTTAAAAGTTACTCCAAATAAAAATGAAACTTACATACTTAAAAACAACATCAAAATTAAAGATCTACACAACAAGATGTGAAGGGAATATATATATTATTTTGTCAAATAGTTAATGAAAACGCATAAATAAATAATAATTCTCACAATTCTTAAATACTAAAGTGTGACATTATTTTTAGAACAGAGACACTATTTAATATATACAATAGTCACACGTTCATATACAAGTTAAATACTCTCTCCGTCCGCAAATAAACTTCTCATTCACTATTCACAGGATCAAACTTTATTCACTTTGTTGGCCTATTTTCGTCACCCATTTGGTAAAAGAATATAGTCATGCATGTCACCTCTAGTTTTGTAGATCTTTTTAATATAATTTTTTATATGTAATTTTTATTTTTAAATTTTACACCATTTTTCATATAAAATGATTTGAAAATAACTTCAGTTAAACATCGTAACGCGCAACGAGAAATTTATTTATGGACGGAGGGAGTAATATTCATTCCATCAGCTGCATATACTTACCTAGTATATTGATTATGAATAATGATCCATCATTGTCATTGGATGATCAGAAGCTCCTACGAAACTTCCTTCAAAAAATTGATGGTTCTTATCCCTTTAAGCCCCTCATGTCCGTCCCTTGCAATAAATATAACCAATCGCCTGGAAGGAGGGGGGAGTATAGCATAGCTTAAACATTATTGTAACCAAATTTGGGACGGTGAAGTATAACATAGCTTGTTCACTTCAACTTAAATTTTCTACTTATTACTTATTTTTATTAAGATCAGATCAAATCAATAACAAATTTATATATTATTACAACGTAACAGATCATGTCAAAACTTCATCATATTATGGCCCCGTTTGGCATCAGCGTTAGAGGTTAGCGTTAGCATTTTGAAAAGTCGATTCGACAGTAGCCTTAGCCTTAACGTTTTTAGAATTAATCTATACTATTAAAATTTTTTCTAAAACGTTAATACTAATCAAAAATATTATTTCCAATGAAGACGTGAATCAAAAGTCAAAACCAACCAGACAATGGAAGAGAAGAAGCTTCCCGCCCATATAATTTGTGGTTACATAGGTCATAGGCGCCCTTGTCATGACAAAAGGGTTTCCTGAAAAAACGGTGCGTAGATTTTGAGTATGTTTGAAAGTGTAAAGTAAGTTACAATGGTCATCTATTCAAAAAGAATCTTTTGGTTCATTACTTTGTCCACAAATAATTTCTTTTGTTCTGCTCGTTTTATAAAATTAAATAATATAATCATGTCACCTCTAGTTTTGTAAATCATTTAATATAATTTTTAAATATATAATCCTTATTTTTAACTTTTATACTATTATTTATTTTAGTCAAACATCGTAATGCGCAATGAAAAATTATCATTAGACGGAGGGAACAACACGGAGTAATTTCACTATCCTCTCAGCTTATCATAATGATTAGTGAAATTTGCTCCAAGTAGCATCAAAACTTAACATTTCGTTCCAAATAGCACCGAACAATTTTTTTTTTCCAAAACTAACATTAAGTTGAATGATTAATTAATTATTAATAATATCTATTTACTAAATGCCCTTGTATCTTTTTTTTCTCCTTTTGATCGAATCTCTCTTTCCTTGATTCGTCTGCTTATATTTTACTTTTGATGGACATTGTAAAAATTAGGAATATTATTCACTGATCCGGGACAATGTAAAAAATTATACGCATGAATATTGTAAAAATTATGGACATTGTTCACTGACCGGAGACATTAGTGGTTAATGCAGTGGACGTTTATAATTGTGACAATATCTTTTTTAACCGATAATATATTGTCAATGAACATGTAGACATTAACAATGACAATGTACATTATTAGAGTGAAACCGTTAAAGTAATTAAATCATGTATAATGGACACTAACGGAGTGGTGGCAGGACACTATAACAGAGTGGTGGCATGACACTAACAGAGTGGTGGCAGGCCACTAACGTCAGCATTTTATGATGTGAAATTTGCACCGAATAGGACTAAAACATAAGTCATTTCCCAATGTAGGACTTAAATTTTTTTATTCCCTAAATAGGACTTAATAATGACTAGTGAGAAGAATAATGTTCAAGTGATGCTGGACATTTAGTTGAATAATGACTAATAGATAATGACCAATGGTCCTACATTGGGAAATAAAAACATATGGTCCTATATTGAGAAAGTCATTATGTTTTAGTCCTATTTAGATAAATTATCCTTTTATGATCAACGGATGGCGAAAGACAGTAGTACGATGTGATGGAATAGTGAAATATAAAATTATATAAAAGACATTTTAGTACATTAAAATTAATAATTAATAATTAATTAATTAGATGTTAGTTATACAAATTATAACTTGTAGTGTTATAAAGAGTAATTCACAATATTTTAGCGTTATTTAAATTAATTTTTCTAATCATTTTGTCTATTGTGAATAATATTTTCACACACAGTTCATTTATTCATAAGAATATAACACGTACACACTTCTACAATACGAGTAATAATGTGCGGAGTAATATATAGAGGGAGAAAACAGTTCTATACAGACTACAAACCTTTCTCTTAACAAACAAGAAATTCGATCGAAGATGAAGACGACGATGACGACAACGTTAGTAATAATAATATCATTAATGATCACAACCAGCAGCGGCGGCGGCACCACCACAGACCCCGCCGGGCTTAGCGGTTTGGTGAAAAGCACCTGCAAAAACACGCCGAATTACAACCTGTGCGTCCAAGTTCTGTCGGCGGACCACCGAGCCGGCAGTCCGAAAGCCGACGTGTCCACGCTAGCCATCATCGTGGTGGACGCCGTGAAGGCCGAGTCGCTGAAAGCGGCGGACAAGATCAAGGAGCTGCGGCCGCGGCGGGGCGATCTGAAGGCGGCGCTGGAGAAATGCGATTTCGAGTACAACAAGGTGATCCTGGGGGCGGTCCTCGGCGAGGCTTACGAGGCGCTGACTAAGGGGAACCCCAAGTTCGCGGAAGACGCCATGGTCGGCACCGCCACGTCCGCTCAGTCCTGCCAGGATGCCTTCGGCGGCGCCGCCTCTCCGCTCTCACCAGTCAACGCGCGTGTGCGGGACCTCTCTGTCGTCGCCAGGGCCATTATCAGGAACTTGCTGTAAACCACGCGCCGCCACTCCGATGAGTCCGACCCTCCCACGCGCTATATATGCAATTCATTAATAATAAAAAATTAAAGCTAAGCCCTCATTAATTACCAGAGTTATTAAGATTTGATGCTTCCAAATCTTTTTTAAATTGCCTATTTAATTTTTTTAACATACCTCCAATAAAAAGTTATGATAAATTATCAAAAACAATACTCGTATCTATTTATTGTTGACAAGTTTATGTCTTTGAATAACAAGAGTGTGATTTCATTTTCGAGATCTTTTGTACTTCTCCATTCTAAATTAAATTATTTGTTTATTATTCATATGGTCAAATTTTATTCATTTTTTTTCTCTTCCATTAGTCATTTGATGAAATAATACAGTCTTTTTTTAACATACTGCACTTCTCATAAAATTAACCATGAAAATTGAAAAAAACCATCCATTCATACTAAAACCAAATACACTACACACTACCAAAACCAAATTTTTTTAACTCTACTATATTACACAAGCAAAAACCAAAATCACTTATAAACTACACCTTTAACTTTGAAAAAGACCTCTACTTTGTATTACCTTTTGGGCGCAATCGATCACACAAGGTTAGGGTTCTTCATTCTTATGCAGTTTATAGTTTCTTGTTCTCCGCACATTATAGCTTAGGGTAGCAAAGAAGACAGCTTGCGTACTCCTCTCTTTCCTTTGAGTGATCTACATAATATAGTCATGTCATCGATCACGAATTCTGTATAGTAGATTTTTTGATGTAGTTTTAAAAAATGTAATATTTTTCAATTTCTACACCGTTTTTCATATAAAATAATTACTTGAAAATAACTTCAACCAAATTTCGTAAACTGAAACAGACGATTTAAATTGAGACGAAAGAAGTATTTACTGGGTTAAAATAATACTCCCTTTGTCCACAAATAATTTTAACATTACGCGTCTACAAATAAACTTTACATTACGCGTTACGATGTTTGACTGAAGTTATTTTCAAATCATTTTATATGAAAAATGGTGTAGAATTGAAAAATAAAAATTACATATCAAAAAACTATATCAAAAGATCTACAAAACTAGAGGTGACATGACTTTATTATTTTATCAAATGGGTGATGAAAATAGGCCAACAAAGTGAATAAAGTTTGATCCTGTGAATAGTGAACGTAAAATTTATTTGTGGACGGAGGGACTATTACTATATCACCTTTATTTTTATAATACTTTTGACATAACTTTTAAATATATAAATTTTATTTCTAAATTCTATATCTAAAAATAAATTAAAAATAGAGTTAATCAAGTTTTGTAAACTCAAATGAGAAGGTGAAAGTAAAAGTAAAGAGTACGTAATCTAGCGCACCCACAGTCCATGCATAGTCCTAAAAGATTGGGCCTCCTTTTGGATCGTCACGATATAGAATCCTTTTTAAGTGGGTCTTCGCCTTACTTTCATGTCAGGCCCTGACCCTGGGGGTGGTGGGGTGAGTTCGGGTCGGGCGGGGTGGGGTGGTTTACTAGGGGAGTTAGGGGGGTAGGAACTGTCAATTTTACGAACGGGTCACCGGAGCACCCCGGGTCATCCCATGACATTGAGTTCCAATGTCATGGGAACCCCACCCTAGTTCTTTTGGTTCGTCTCACTATTATTGTCATGTTTATCTCTAGCACTATATTTTTCTCATATTATATCTGCTGCCCCTAGATTTTTTTTGATAATAATATAAAATGACAAAAGAAAATGAATTTTATTTCAAAAATTTATTGAATCTGAAGTTTTTTCAAAAAAAAAAATTTGCCAAAAGAAAAATGTGAACTTATATTTTTCTTTCACCAACTTTGACAAGAACCTGCAAAAAAATACTTCCTCCATCTCTGTAAGTTCTTCGAAGTTACTATTCACAAAGTCAAACGTTATTCACTTTCTTTACCTTTTTTTGATTATTTGATAAAATAAATAGTCTTGCCACCATTTTTTGTGCATTTTTTGTTGTATTTCTTAAATATATACTTTTATTTCATAATTCTACCCCAATTTTCACCTAAAAAACGTGGGAATCATTTTTCAAAGTTTATATGAATGAATTGTGCTGTTGGGCCAAAGAAATACCGTCTTCGGGTTATGGGCTTGGCTACATGGCTTGGGCCTAGACGTTAAATATCTGTAAGGCCCCATTTATTCATCCCCTATGCCAACATATGGCAAATGTCCCCAAATTCCCCCAAAATAATGAAAACCATTTGTAGAGCCCATTTTATTCATCCCGGATGAATAACAACGTAAGTGACCCAAGTTGAGGTGGTGTATTTACCAGGGTCGTCCTCAAGAAATCAGGTCCCGACACAACACGGAAAAAATAACTCTTTATGTAATAATGAAATAAAGTCTATCAATTAAAATTTTTATTAATAATTAAGATTATATTAATAGGAATAATGAAATGCCAAATTCATAGTATATACATACAAAAAAATTTGGGGCTTCTCTGAAAACGTTGGGGCTTCTCTGAAAACGTGTCTGGGAGGTCGGGTCGGGTGATAACTACTTGGGCGCGATGATTAGTTGAAAAGGCTTCAAATATAATACGGAGTATGTTCATATAAAAATCGTTCCTAACTCTACAACGACAAATTGAGTTTTTTTGTTAAGTTAACTTTCTTGACATTATATCAAAATCTTGTCACCTAATGATACAAACAAGTGTGCAAGGCTCCAAGTGACAATATATAAAAAAATTAATATTTACGTGCAAGGTTTCAGGCGAAAGCAAATTTTACATTCTTACCTACATATGAAGAATGTGTCTGTTAGAGTGCATCTCACATCGGAAGTTCAAAAGTAAAATAATTGGTATATAAGCTCTTGAGTTGAACTAACTAATCGATTGGATTCAATCTTTTAATGTGATTCAGAGTGTTTTATTGTTCAATCCAATTGTCTCTATCACGTCCTAAATTCTATTAGTGTTAGAATTAAAAAACTTAATGGCTAGTTTTTGCTCTGGGTTTGTTGCTTTTTTTCATAGAGAGACTAATGTCATTGCTCATACTCTAGCAAAGAGACCTCAAACTGAATGTGTTGCTTGGGTTTCTATTCCTCCGGAATTTTTGTTGTCCCCTTTGAAGTTTTAATGAAGTTTTTTTCCCAAATACCAAATTATATATACCTTTAAACAAACTCCGGAATTTTTGTTGTCCCCTTTGAAGTTTTGATTGGTTCCTTAACAAACTCCAAAACCCAATAAATTACCGCATGCCAAAGTTATGATGAGTAAGAAGAAGTAGAGAATAAATTATGTGTGCTACACATGCTCTATTTGCCCCTCCCTATTATTATACGTACCATGTTTCACTTTATTGTTGTAACTACTCGTACTTTTTTTTGGTACAGTACTATATTACTTTTGTGTTCCAAACCAATTGGCATTCCTCCTAAATTTGATCAAAAAAATAAAAGTTACATACAATATTTAAAAACTACATCAAAAGTATTACAAAATAAAAGCAGACAAGAATATTTATTTTTATCAAATAATCAATAAAAACATACATATAAACAAAAGTTATCTAGATAAAAGTGAAAAAGAATCATAATCAAAATTGGGACGGAGAGAGTATTACCACCTCCGTCCCAGAGTATTTGTCCATTTTCATTTTTGCACACCATCCAATGCACTTCTTTAATTCATTTTATCTTGTAATTTGTATATTAAAAAATTGTAGAAATTATATACTTCCTCCGTCCCAAATTATTTGTCACATTTCTATTACCGAGGCAAAATATCAAGTTTTTTCAATTCATTTTATTTACATATTGGTAAAGAAATAAAAAATAAAAATTACATATAAAAAACCACATGAAAAGTTCTTCGAAATAAGAGGTGTCAAGAATATTTTATTTTATCAAATAACCAATGAAAACGTCGAAATAAACAAAAGTTCCCGCGACTGCTGAAAAAGCAAATGTTGTGAATATTTAGGGACGGAGGAAGTATTAATAATCTATATTTTAAGACAAATCAAATAAGATCACACATGACTATATTTAGGCTTACACATTGAGAGAATTTGATGATTCAAAGTGCTTAGATGAACAGTTCTAAAAATCAAAAGTGGACGAATATAGCGGGACGGAGAGAGTATTATTTATTAATCTTTTTTTTTCTTTTTAACTAAATTTTGTTAATTATTTGTGGTGAAAGTAATATTTCTGGAGTATATATATTCATATTAACTCTTGTTTTGATGGATTTTGTTTTATACGATTATTATTTCAAAAACAAAAAAAAAAGAAAAAAAAAGATTATGAGAGAGGAATGAGATATAGATCGAGCACCTGTTGGGACCCGCGCGTTAGAGTTGGTTTGGTTCTATATTGCGATTAGATTGGATTGAGACTAGCTCCAAACGAGACAGGACAAATTAGCTAACAGCTGACCATAAAACCTTAATTACCTTGTCTCTTTTATTAATTAACGCAATTAATTGCTAGTTCATACACTAATCCAATCTATTTCAAGTTAATTTGGCTTCAACTTCAGCAAAATATGAGGTCCTGTGCACTCATAATTATTGGAGATAAAAACTTATGATAGAAGACATTGATCATACCCTCTCAAAGTATATGTGTTATATAAATTATAAAATATATTACTACCTCCGTCCCAAAATTTAAGCAACACTCCACTATTTAAAAATCACGGGAATTTTTATTTATTTTTGTATTTTCATTGATTATTTGATAGAATAAAATATTCTTGTCACCACTTGTTTTGTAGAACTTTTGACGTAGTTTTTAAATATGTAAGTTTTATTTTTTATTTGTAGACCATTCTTTAAATAAAATGGATTGAAAAAATTCAAAAAAATTACTTCGTTTAGCGTAATGTTGCTTATATTTTGGGACAGAGGGAGTATATAATACAAATCATATACATAAAATCAAGTTTTTAAATATAATTACATCTACAACAACTATTTAAAATCAGCTAAGTTGCCAAATAATTTTTTGTAAAGAGCTAATGCAATCAACCGATCAAAACAACTAACTCACCAGCCAATCAAACTAGCCAACATAAAAAACTACTACCTCCGTCCCGCTTTGTTTGTCCACTTTTGACTTTTGGAATTATTCATTTAAGTACTTTGACTCATCAAATTCTCTCAATGTGTAAGCCTAAATATAGTCATGTGTGATCTTGTTTGATTTGTCTTAACATATAGATTATTAATATATAATTTCTATAATTTTTTAATA